ATCTAGCCCGCATTCCTGGATAAGGTGAATAGACATAAAATTTTAACCCCCTGTTAAAATATGAATAACTTTTTTTCTGCTTTGAACAATTTGAATTTGGTTCACACTGTTCGCTAGGCCAGTCCTTCAGCTATAAAAGCTAGTCGTAATACTAAACTCGCTACAGGGTGTCACCTGAAACTGTGAAAAATTTTTGAATTTTCAAAAGGATTCCAAATGAACGAAACCTTTTTTTCAACTTTGACAGCAGATTACCTTGAGACATTTTTCGAATTGTCTTATTATCCCTTTTACTTACAGAGTGATATCGAAAAGTTAACTTCTAGGTTTTGCAATCATAACTTTTTTCCTTCCCAACCGATTTTTAAAATCTCAGGCTCATTTTGAAGAGATATGAAGATCAGAATTGACTCAAGATGAACATTGCACAGTGTGTCTCACTTCAATGGAAGTATCTTTCGTATTTGATTAGTTCGGATTCTGAAATTCGCAGGAACGGTAGATATATACTGAAAGTACACACTATGACCAAGTGGAGTCATCTTCAGTGATATACACTGCTTGCTAACAGCCATGGAACCATCCACAAAAATTAAATAGGCGAGTTGACTATTTTTTTTTATTTCTTAAATAGAATCATCACTCAAATAACTTTCAATTCCATATATCTTTAGAATTTTTCATTCGATTTTAAGGTGCTGAGATCAGCAATAATGCCACGGTAATTTTCAAAGTGCTAAAAATTTACCGCGAGTAGAAACTGACGTCATGATTTCGTAAGTAGGGATAGACCATAGCACAGTTGTCATAATATGTTGAAATACGATTGGAACTTAGGAAATATTAGTTATTCAATAATTCATAGATTCTCAATTTTGTATTGGTTATATTTCTAGTTTGACATAAAAATCAATTGTCTCAAAATATTCCCTCATCTCTGTTGTGGCTTATTAATTGTTTATAATACATTTGTGTTAATATTAATATTATTATATTAATTCACACTAGAGAATATTTGAGGGTAAACGTCCCGGCGCACGGATTGTGGGCGGTGCCTTGTCAATTCTCAGCATTCAGCACATTGTTGCCAAGACTTCAACATCAACATGATATTTTGTTATAGGGTACAAGAGATATACAGACATGCTGATGGTTGCACGAAAAAGCCAAGAATGATCTATAATATCATGGCTTACTGCTTACTCTTATTATGTTTTATCTCGTGTTTTATCCAACGACAGCACTCTAATCTTTAGGATAAATTGATTATAATTGCTGACTCGACAACGTTGCTTCATTAGTGGAAATGAAAGATTATTTTCGCAGTATATTGCAGTATCATTGCAGAGAAAAGTGTTGTTTATCTGCCTGCCTCGTTTTCATTGAGATAATTGATGAATTACAAAAATATATCGCGTTCCAGTTACGAATATTGGAAATATTATTCAGGTATGTTTCAGATTCAACATCCATGTTCCGCCTCCCATGAAAATCAGTTTTGATTTTTATGGACTTCGATATTTGATGTCATGTTTATTAGCAGATCTGAGAAGCAAAGTGTTGATACTTGTCACTCAATCGGAGAGAACCACCCAGTCAAGAGGAACCGAACAGAAGATCTGCAAAGAGACCTGACCAGAGTATACTTTGCAGAATTCAGATCATTATATTCCTACGGAAGGCAATATATTGATATCCTTTCCATCAGATTCTCAAGAAAACAGATGAGACAGATATTCAGCTCTATGTCTCTATGGAATCACGACAGGTACCCTTACGAGGGGAGAGTATCAACTCGGCGTTTATAAACCCTCTCTGCAAAGGAGGTAGGCGCATGGTGGGTTAGGTATATACAGTGTACTTCATTGCAGAGAAAATTGTTGTTTATCTGCCTGTCTCGTCTTCATTGAGATAGTTGATGAATTGATGAATTACAAAAATATATCGCGTTCCAGTTACGAATGTTGAAAACAATATCAAATATTCTATGTAGGGCTCACGATTCAAATTTAAAATTCATCCTTAGTTTTAGATCCGAGCAGAACATCGTTCGGCCTTCAAGGTCCTTGATATAAGCCAAGTATACGTAATTAAAAATGTGGAAGATGCCTACTGGAAAAAACACTATTCGAAAAGAAAGCGGATATGCAGCAATCCAGTTATTATTACGGACGTTGAATATATTATTCAGGTATGTCTCAGATTCAAAATCCATGTACTTTATCTGATTATAATAATTTTCTGGTTTTAATGTACTTCGAGTAATATGTGATGTTTAGTTGCAGATTCGAAAAGCAGTGTGTGATACTTGCCACTCAATCGAAGGAAACCATCCAGTAAATACGGACCGAACAGAAGATCCGCAAAGAGAACTTACAAGAGTATACTTTACAGAATTCAGATCATTATATTCGTACGGAAGGCGATATATTGATTACCTTTCCAGATTCTCAAGCAGACATATAGACAGATATTCAGCTCTATGTCTCTATGGAATCACGACAGGTACCCTTACGAGGGGAGAGTATCAACTCGGCGTTTATAAACCCTCTCTGCAAAGGAGGTAGGCGCATGGTGGGTTAGGTATATACAGTGTTCTTCATTGCAGAGAAAATTGTTGTTTATCTGCCTGTCTCGTCTTCATTGAGATAATTGATGAATTGATGAATTACAAAAATATATCGCGTTCCAGTTACGAATGTTGAAAACAATATCCAATAGTCTATGTAGGTCTCACGATTCAAATTTGAAATTGATCCTTAGTTTTAGATCCGAGCAGCACATCGTTTGGCCTTCAATGTCCTTAATATAACCCACGCGTACGTAATTGAAAATGTGGAAGATGCCTATTGAAAAAAAAAACACTATTCGGAAAGAAAGCGGATATGTAGCAATCCAGTTACGGACGTTGAATATATTATTCGGGTATGTCTCAGTTTCAACATCCATGTAATTCATCTAATGATATTTATTTTCTGATATGAATGTACTTCGATTGATATGTGATGTTCTGTTGCAGATCAGAGAAGCAGTATTTGATACTTGCCACTCAATTGGAGAAAACCATCCAGTCCATACGAACCGAACAGCAGATTCACAAAGTGAACTGACCAGAGTATACTTACGGAGCTTAGAGTGGTCCTTCTAGTCTCTGTTTCTGTTCGGTGTCTGCGGCTGACGTCACAACGTTGAAGGTCGAACGCTTGGAGGGTAAACAAACCATGTGGAGGCATTCTGTTCATGCTTTCATTTTACTGCATTGTTACTGACGAAAGGGTTGTTATTAGTTTTTGTTATTCGTATTGTGATAGTCGTGTTGAACTTCTTCTGCAGCTACTGCAGATACAATTTATACATATTAAATTCAATGTATTCATCTGTGATTCAAATCTTATGACTTTGAAGGCCTACCATTTACATCTACAGATTCTAATTGAATAAATAGGCTGAATTTTTGTATGGTAGTGAATTGCGGCAGTAGGTACTAGAATGAGAGACAGTGTCAGATTTTTTAGGATTTCCTCAGTTCTAGACAATAACAGTTAACAGAGCAGAAAACATCTCAGCCAATTGGTGGAGAGCACTATACTCCTTTTTGTAGAATCTTTTATTGTTTGTAAAAATTGTACAATCTCTTGTTGGTTCAAGCTAGCATCTTCTTTATGTGCTTCCAATTGTGATTTGCTTGAACCTGGTTTTGTGAAATCAATGTCAATAACTTTGCTGGGCGCAGAAGGTTTACTACTTGGAGCTACCCAATAAGCTTTCACATCTCTTAAGGGCGCCGTACATTATGCTATTTACCAGCAAGTTCGATGCAATGCAATGCAATTTTGAATCGAACAATGCTCATGCGTCTATGATATTTCACGGCAAGTTTCATGCAAGTTTCGTAATAGAACCAGTCCTATTTTTCCTGCAATTTCAAGGCAAGTTTAGTAAAATTTTTAGTAATATCAGGTAATATTCATCGTCGCATCTTGATAAAATACAAATTTTCTCCATAACGTGGCCTGAAACACCAAATAACCTCAAAAAGTACATTGAAGGCTCAAAAAACCGTGAAAATAGTGAACATGAACGAGAAAATATGACAGAAATATCTCAATGCACGGCGACTTGCAATAAAATGAGAAAATTGCATTGCCTCAAACATGCCGAGAACTAGCATAATGTACGGCGCCCTTTACAGATTTCGATTCCACAGATGATGTTGGACGAACCAAATCATCAATGGAGAATAATATAGCTGAAACATGTGTGCAAGTTTCTCAGTTTTTTAGCATTTATTTTGTCCAAGCTTTTATATTGCTCACTCAACGTACTCATCATAGTCCTTCCATAAAGCAGTAACAGCACTTCAAAACGCTTTCAAAACACAAGATTAGACTTCCTCAAACTTGAACAAACACCATTTTTTGTTTACCCTCCAGGCGAGATGGTCTTGTGCCGCAGATGGTAAATAGATGGCGACATTGCACAATTATGACATTTGTCAGTTTTGAAATTGTCGTAGATTTTTTCGAATTCAAAGTTCAATAGTCCCACTGTTACATATGTTCCGCGAACCTAAAATGCCATTTGCTATTTCATTGAGCAGCAGCAAGGTTGGTAGAGCTGATGACTATTTTATAATCAGTTCTACCAACCTTGAGCAGCACTAGCAGCATCACCATCTAGCGGGAGAATGTAGAATCAACGTCTCGCTCGTTGTGACTTAGGGATCGAAGTTATAGTAGGCGGTCGAGTGATTTTTTGAAATTTTCAATACGTAATAATGGCCGAATACGCTCACCATATCTTACTTCCATCATTGATTTTCTACAGCATAGCAGCATGCCACTAATTGAATAACTGGCGAGAGACGTTCGTTGATGTTTTCATGGTGTCATTCGTCGTTCTCTCTCAAGTTCAAATGTCAATATTGTCAATGTCAGTAAAAATGTTGTGTGACGTTAACGTGTGACAGTGACTATCAAAGTTGATTGAAGTTTATATAAAATAAACAAAACGTCAAAATTTTGATGTGGCTACAGTGGTTATCGTTATATTCCTCATGAATTCATTCAAAATTATCATTATTTCGTTTATCATCTTCAAATTTTGTGATTAATCATAACCAGAATAAAGGAATGGCTTCAAGTAATCAAAATCCTGTCACCAAGAAAACACCAATTTGTCCGAACATCCCTTCCAATCTCAGTGTTAAAGATGAAGACAGGGAAGAAACAACTATGGATCAACCAGATTTGATCAATTTGGAAGAAACAGAGTGGTCAGATGAACCTAATGAAGATTTTCAACTCGAAAAAGATGATTATCTGTCTAGTTTCGGCATCGACAATGGCAATGATGATCATTCAAGGGACTCTGATTCTTCCAGTGATGAAAGTTACCCAGAATTCACTTGCAAAATATGTAAGCACGATTTCCAAGATGATTATTATATGCAGGAACATATCAGATTGAGAAGGCTTGGTGATAAAAGGTTCAAGTGTTGTGTGTGTGACAAAGTTTTCAGGGACAATAGCCAGTTGAATGTACATGCAAGAAAGCATACTGGTGAACAGCCTTACTCCTGTTCCATTTGTGATAAGAAATTTTCTGTCAATGGAAACTTGAGGAAGCATATGAGGATACATACTGGGGAAAGGAGATTTGAATGTGAAACATGCAAGAGGAAGTTTATGCAGCTTGCACATTTGGAGGACCATATCAAAACACATTCAGGTATCACTGTGGCACACCCAATACTCTTAGATAGGCTGAACAACATTGGCATTAGAGGTATTGCAAACGATTTGTTTAGATCCTATCTAAGTGGAAGAACACAATGTGTAAAGATATGCAATGTTTTAAGTAACCATCTAAAAGTAGGATTTGGTGTGCCACAGGGCACAGTACTGGGACCGCTCTTATTCAATATTTACGCAAATGGACTCCTATCACTGTTAGAGAAAGACTCTATCTTCTGCTTTGCCGATGATACAGCGGTCATAATAAGTGGTCCCACATGGAGAACTACCGTAGAAAGTGCGGAAAGAGCAATGGCAAAAGTTAAAAAGTGGCTAGATAGTAGTCTTCTCTCCTTAAATGTAAATAAAACAAAATGTATGACTTTCGCTCTCTCAAATAGATCCCTACCTACTAATATACAAAACATAAAACTACATGAATCCCATTGCACCCTAGAACAGCAATGTTCGTGCACACAAAAAATTAATAGAGAGACATGTGTTAAGTACTTGGGCATTCTTGTAGATGATCTTCTTACATGGAAAGAGCACATAAACTATGTCACAAAAAAAATAAGAAAACTCATTTATAAATTCTATGAACTGCGTAACTTCCTATCTTATAAAACCATGAAAACAATATATTTTTCACTTGTAGAGTCTATCATAAATTATGGCATTGTTGTGTGGGGAAATGCCTGTAGCATATATTTGTCAAAGCTTGAAGTATCCCAAAAATGGATAATAAAAATAATGCTCTTTAAAAAAAAGCGCTATCCATCTCAATTAGTATATGAAGAAAGTAGATTACTGACTCCAAACCAACTTTACCTTAAAGCAGTTGCAAGGTTTATGCTGAAAATGACGTACTATAGAAATGATATCAGCCATAACTTAAACACGCGGAATGCTGCTCAACAGAATGTTCTTTTGAGAAACCCAAAACATGTTGCTTGCCAAAAACATATATATTGTACTGGCCCCAAAGTTTACAATGCTCTACCTCAGCATCTCAGATCAATGCCTTACAACAAAATTAAAAAAGACATCACAAAATGGATTGTACAAAGTAACTTCTCCCTTGTGTACCTAGAATGAAAAGACAAAAAATACATAAAACGTTCACGTATATTGAATCAATCAAACCCCTTCCCTTTTTAAGCTAAATTACTTACTGTATAATATTCTGTGCCTATATGTGAACATTGACATAGTTAGAACCTCACCGATAATTCCATAAAGAAGAGATGCACACACACAGTATCTTTGTATACCATAGTGCGCCAAATTCAAGTACTAGTTTAGGTCGAATCGTCTAAATGGACAATCTTTCTGTTTTCTATAGACCTCTTAGAATAGACTTATTTTGTAACTGTATTACCACCTCTACTGTATATTACTACCTTACTATTACTGCTGAATAAATATATAATACAAGAAATCCTTTATTCCTCTGTAGTTATAAGCCAATGATCTTGTTTGATTGTTAGGTATTCATGAGAGGAATATTTGACTTTATTTTTAGGAGAGAGACCATATGTTTGTGACTTTTGCAACAGTTCCTTCAAAACAAAAGCAAGGATGCGAAAACACAAAAAATCTCATGAGGATGATAAAATGACCAAAAGATCTATACCATGCCCAATCTGCTGCAAAATAATGAAGAGCACCAAACAATTAGTGACACATCTTGAAACTCATGATGAAGGTGAATACTACAATTTAAAAAAAAAATGAATCAAATCAACTTCTATTATTTTTGTTATTAATATTGAAAAAGCTGGGGACAATATTAAACTTAGTTCTTTTATTCCTAACTGAAGGTCCCCAGAATCCATTTCCTTGCAGTTGTTGTGACAAGACCTACAAGAATCTTTTCTCATTGAATATCCACATGAGGTCTCATGGGAATGTAAGAGACTTTAAGTGTACCCTGTGTGATAAAACTTTTACTAATGGTGGCCATTTGAGGCGACATTCCAACTCTCATACAGGTAAGATATTTTATTCTCAATGTGTTTGTTTAGTGTGTATACAATGTTCTTAAATTTAATATAATGAAAATAAGCCATGCTACAATTATGTATGATTGTGACTGATGGGATAAATAATGCCCACCTCATATTAAGAGGCAAAGTAAAGAGGTGATTTTTAAAATTATTCAACATCAAAACTTATGATAAATGTCCTGAGAATGAACTTTGAATCAAATTGAATTTATCATTATTCTGCATGAAAACATGAGAAAACACCTTTGATTCATGTTGAAATATATGTATTAAGTCTACTGTCATGATTTAGACCAACACCATGCAATCCTCCACATTCTGAATATAATTTGATATATTTAATTTATTTATCAAAATGAAGGATATCATGTCTTGAATACAGGTTGGTTCCAATATCTTTCATTTTCATATATTATATAGGCAGAACAAAAAGAGCCATTGCTCAACTAATTTCAAGAATGTAAAATACAATTATTTTGAATGTTACTTAATTTTCAAATGGATTTGTTTTTCTTGTGACAGGAAAAAAGTTTGTAATTTCATCTCAGTTGGCAGGTTATAAAATGTCACTTTTCATAAATTACTTTTTTCCCATGGGAAAAAAGTTGGTATACCTTTTCCCCGGTAATATATCACATATATATATATATATATATATACTGTTTGAGGTTTTTTTTGTGCTATAGTTTCAGAAAAATGAGCCAATAACACTGTCCTCCAGAAAGAACTCAAGAACTGCAATTTCTTTCATCTTCCATTTGAATTTGCCACTATGTAAATTACCAAACAACCACTGAATTTGCAATTTTTTGAAATCAAATCACAGAATTAGACTGACAAATATTTGATTACTTCAATAGGATGATGAAGATGCCTGCAATGTAGGTGTCATTACTGTTAAAAACTTCAAATTTCACATGAATAATTTTCTGATTTTTAATATAATGTAATCTTTTCAATATTGATTTGATCTTTTTCCTGCCACAGAAAAAAATAGTGTATTATACACGGAAAAAAGAAATTTTAGCTCATGGTTTTTTGTTTCCCTTTCCTACACCTCAGGAGACAACACAACCTGGAACTAAAATCTACAACTTTTTTCCCTTGTATAATAAATAACTATTTTTCAAATTTCAAATACCCAGATATACCCAATGGTATAGTATACCTAACACATTTTCTCCTCAGAGTTGAGTCATTGTTGCAAGCAATTGAAATTACAATTTTTGTTCATGTTTTTCTTGGTTTTTGTGAGGTTAATGTGGTTTCTATTTTCTATTTCTATCTCAGAAACGAAGTGAGGTGTGGGAAATCCCTGGGGAAAACCTCTGGCAATGAAAAAGTTGTTCTTTCATTTGCTTAATCCCAGAAAAATATTGAAATTACAGAAAAAGTCAGTCAAGGCATATGAAAAATCAGTCTGCCTAGTGACAAAACAATGTGATGTGAAGCTTATTAATGAATATGCAGAATATAATAATTAATTCTGTCTTTCAGCAAGAGAAGTGAAAATTGATTGTCTGTACACTGCTCAGGATACCTCATTGATTTTGTATACATTATATTCTATCAATAAGCTTTGTACTGATTCGAGGTTTTGTTTGAGTCGATTATACCGTGTGTTGACGAATCTACTAGACAAGCCATAACTTCCAGAATTTTCGGTTCATTTAAATGAAATTTGATATGGGTATACCTATATGGTATTAAAAAGTTTCCACATATATTTCAATTACCGATCACTCCCGGTTTTGCCAGAAACGGCTCCGGATTTGAATTTTTAAATGGAACACCCTGTATATTATAGCATTTTTGAATTTCAGAGACAATTCTGGATCAGAACATGATATTTTCAAAAGTTTCAACACCTACTTGATTTTTTTAGAGTCACTTTTAATTTTGCATCTAGGAATTCAGGTGATGTCAGAAAATTATTATCCCAATTTTCAGAATGTTCTGTCTCCTCGTTCTCCAGATACTACTAATAGGCCATCCACCGTCGATCACACTGTATTCTTTTGTGAAAGTCGAATTCGAAATTTTATCCTTCTCACTCATATTGAGATATACTCAGAATGTAAGAAATGGCGTAAGGTTCAAAGTAATTTTCGTTATCTTCAACTATGGAGTCATTCATGCATTGCTTACTCGATTTTCGACATTTAATGACATACATTATTGTGATGAATCGAGTAATAACAGTAATAATGACAGTAGGGTGGCGTAATAATCTGACATCCCATCGTCTTGTCAAATTCAACTAGATATGTATTCGTTCAACTAGTTCGCAAATTCAAAAGACTGACCTTACATGGTTCTCATAGTTTTAATCACCTTAATTCTACAAATACACGGAAAATGAGAATTCACTGTTTTCCATCCTGAACAGTGACTACCATCGTGAGTAACCATACTCATAAAATAGGACTTGACACTTACAGATTTGCTCACATGGCTACAGGCTATTCGAATAGATTAGTACAGACCAATCAGAACCATGGAATTTCATTGTTGATAATTAGCTTCTAGAGACAGGGTACTACAATTAATCATTGCGGTGGGGGAACGCTGCAGCGAAAGCAGGTTAATGAATAATCTGCAATAGTATGATTCATTTTACAACTGAAAAGTGAAATGGCATATAATACCTGGTAAGATTGACTGATATGTGATTGCACGACTTTCTTCCTGTTAATAAAAGTTATATCCAACATTGTTTATTTTCACAATCAGAATTATTGAAAAAAGTTATAAGCTGTTCGTTGAGTGACATGTTTGTCAATAAGTTTTCGATGGAATTATCAAGTATTTCAAGTCAGATTTAGTGATTTTGCAATATGATAACCTTCATTCTTTCCTATATAAGATATATTTCTGAACTCTCAGAGTTGCTTTGATATTTGAATAGTTGTAGATAAAGTATAGTATTCTACTTGCGCATAATGACTATTACCCACTCAGATGATTACAGCACTCGCCTTCGGCTCGTACTGCAACTTTCATCTTCGTGGGCAATAGCCATCATTATGCGCTCGTTGAATAATATACTATTATCTCTCCTACACAATGAAAGAAGAATGAGCATGTGTTGTTTGTCGTCTCAACGTGAATGTGACCTGCCTGACATAAAAATCACCTCGTTATTTATGATGTATTCTTCATGTTTCTTATATCTAGGATGAACAGAAGATGGTGTAAAAACTCCTATTAAATCCCATCTACTGTTTTTTTCAATTCAAGGTTGGTAGAACTGATGAGAATTAAAATTCCCCAAAATTACAGTTTCATACTTCCAAATTTAACCTCATTTGATTTTGAGGTTATGTTATGCATTTTATGATATCATTATTTCTGGTGCAAGCAGCGTGTAAGCGCCGTTTTCTGTTTTCTGTCATGACAGAAATCTGTAAAAAGTGTCGTCTCTTGCGGACAACTGAGAACTGATATGCCATCATTGCGGAATATGCGGTCCAGCGTCTTGGGAGAAACAAAACACTGTCTGTGATTACATCGAGGGGTAAACCACTTTTACAAAAAGTACACGGACAGATTGTACAGATATTATAAATATATACATAGATAAGAATTGGACATTTGCATTGTAAGATGAGGAATATTGGGTCAAGATTGGACAAATTGCATCAGGATTGGACACCAAGTGTACACATATTGGACATAGTGGTTCACCCCACGGATTACACCATATTCTATCCACCTTGCTTATATCTATTTGTTCGACTATATCATCATTATTATAAGGTATAAGGCCCTTCACCTGCGAGATATGCTTCCGAGGTTTTCCCTCGCAGCAGAACATGAAACGCCACCAGATGACCCATACCGGAGAAAAACCGCACGCTTGCTCCGAGTGCGGCAAGTCTTTTCTCACGTTGGAGAACCTCAACAGGCACAAGCGCACGCACACAGGGGAGAAGCCGTTCCCCTGCACCGTGTGCGGCAAATTTTTCGCCCACAGGTGAGTTCGAGCATCGGGAAATTTTCATTATTAATATCCCTCTAATTACTATCGAAAATTTTTCCGAGAACATTAATTCAAAATAGTAATTTTCCTAACAAGTGCGGAAAGTGATTCTTTCCCGCACGTGACTGCCGTTGACACGAACGACGCGAAGCGGAGTTCGGGCAAGCAGTCGAGTGCGGGAATGAAACTTTCCGCATGAGTTAGGAACAATATTTTTTCTACAAGCGTAGGAAATTGATTGAATCGTTCAATTAATTATTCAAGCAAATAGGAACAACTAACAAGAGATATATATTCTCTATCTATTAATTATTAGTAATAGCTATTGTGAACTTACAGTTTGACGCATTATGTTGGTTCATTGCGGAAGCCAGCAAGACCATTAGGAGTTTGGTCTCTATAGGTTCCAGACACTTCTATGAAATGAGCCAAAAATACCTATTCTTCATTCGGTTTTTCCATTTCTTTATTGTTGCACCATTCAATAAAACGCGTGTATAGCTTCTCATACCTTTCTTAAGACTTCGTTGGTGATAACGCATCTGTATCAAATCCCTATAGCTAGAAGTTTTTGATCACATTGTGGCATTTCCACTGAATCGAAAATGACAGTAACGCTGTGTCTGTCACTTCGACAATTTCAAACTTATTTGAGGTTTGATTGGCATGACAAATTGACGTTTCCCGTCAGATCAATCCAAATCTATAGAGGGATTGTTATAATAATCAATTTTTATTTCTCAATATTTCTTGATTTTTACAATAAATAGTGCAATTTGATGGATGATTCTGAACATACATACTTGATACTGCAACAAACAAACTTAAACTTTTCTATTCCGTCACCAACCACTTATATATTACTAGCGATTTTATCATATCTTTGTTTTCCCGCACTGTTGCGGGAAAATGACACTTCCCAAACTAAATTGCGTGCGGGTATAGGGTGAATCACGCACGCTTGTAGAAAAATAAATATACCAAAGTTATATGAATAGTTATTCATTTTATCTATTCGCTGAATCGAAAGTAGGCGTTTGCTCCCTCATTTGAGGAAACAAAGTTATCAATTTACTACCACAGGAGGAAAAAAATATTAACTCCCCTGGGTGGTAAAATAAATTGGCTTCAGCATGCATCTTTTGACGTCAATATACCTATAAAATCTGTGCATTCCAAGTAATCAGTGTCTTCATCACAATTATTATATCTTCACATTCCGAACGTATTTCTCATCAAAACTTTCAAATGCAGTTTCACAACATATAAATCAATCAATTCATGATGACAGAAGTGTCAAATTGACTTTTGTTCAAATGCCGTCAACTGTCCATGACATACTATACCTTTGTAATGCATAATGATGGATCGAGAGATAGACCGCCTTATGAACAACACACAAAGACTGATGCTTTGAAAAATGCGTTCGTTGATGAAATCATATATACAGGGTCTTAACAAATAAGTGTCACAACGGAAAACTGTAGATTCATCATAATAAAAGAAACATTTATTTCCTCTTCAAAATTTTTCTCCGGGCTTCCTTTTTCAAGATACAGGGCGTCCAAAAATCAAAAATGTTCAGTTTAATTAAATACACTTTACAACATTTAATAAACTTGACAATTTGAAAACCAGCATCGATACCAGCATACTCAAGAACCTGACATTTGATTGAACATATTATTAGACAGTTCTGAGCTTTTTATTTCCAGTGGATTTTTAGACCATTTTTGGAAATACCATCAGGATTTTGTATGTTCTTATTCATAAAGAGCCATTTTTCGCGAAAACTGTTCACTTTAGAGCATTGAGACAAGAGGCCGTTTTTTGTGTGAAAGATATTGGCGCTTCAGGATCTACTTTGGAAATTACAATTTCTCCAGTGGCATAAATGTTTGGGGGGTTAAACCCTTACGAGGCGTTGAATTCTCCTCCACTGACATTTCCAAGGAAATTGATCAAGAGCCCTAAAAGTAGTCATTATCGATGATGAAGTGTGTACGAAGTCTCAACGCAGTAGCTCAGATGGTTCTTGAGATATTAGCAAAAAACAGATTTTTTCGTATTTTTTTGACGCCCTGTATCTTGATAACGGAAGCCCGGAGAAAAATTTCGAACGGGAAAAAAATGATTCTTTTTCCATGAGCAATCTACAGTTCTCCGTTGTGACACTTATTTGTTAACACCCTGTATATATCATGGGTGCAAAGGTACATTTCCTCCCTCACATGCGAGAGGAATACCTTACCTCCCTTAATATATAAATAGCTATTCCTAGGCAGCAATTTAGTAGACTGACTGCCATGTAAAATTTAATTTTCACGCCGGCGAGAGTAGAAGTTAGTTTCTCTGGTAACAAAAGAAGGACAGAAGTCTCGTATTATTCCCTAAGGAGATAATGTGGCATATTTTCTTCCTAGGGAGTTTATACCAACTCTACATTTTCCGCATATCTCTGCGCTTTCTTTTCGAAACACCCTTCTCTGAAGCGAGAATAAGCTGCATCATACAGATTTCTAGATCTCACTGCAGAAGCAGTATCAATGGTTTCTTGGGGTCTTCCCTCGATTTCTTGTTCCATAACCGTTAACCATTTTCAAAACTGTTATCATATGTTTCAGTTCGATATTTGCTGTTACCATGGGTTATCAACAAGATGCATGTTGTCAAGATACGAATTCCACAAACTATACGACTACTAATCATGACATAACACTTTGACCAAATTTGTATTCTTTCTTAATTTCTGTGTTTTTGCCAGAGTAAAAAGTAGTATATTCACTTCAGGACAGAATGCTATTTTTCCTTCAGTGCTTTGCATCTCTCGGGCTTCGCCCTCGACCTACAAATCGCACCTTGGAAAAAATCTTGCATTTCTATCCCTTGATGTGTAATGTACTATTTTTCTCCAAATGTTATGAAACCATAAATCTTGGAAACAAACTAATAATAAAAAGTTTATTGGGATTAGGTTTGATGAAAAATTAATATGAGACAAATACAGGGTGACATCTTGAAAATTTCCCACCCTCAATATTTTCCTTCCAGTAAATAATAATAATGAAAAATCGAAAAGATAGATCGGTTTCATTTTCAAGGGAGACACTTGAAATGATTAGTTTAAGCCCTTCTAGTTCAACCCCCTAGGAGGGGTAGATATTACCCTTAGAATTTCAAATTGGAAGAGGGGTCAAATGGTACATAATTTTCGGCGTTCAGTTCTCTTCTCAATGGTACCCTAGTTTATCGTTTTCTGTTGAGCGGTTTCCGAAAAATACTGTGTCAATTAGAAAACTTCCTACCCTTAATATCATATTCCTTCCAGTGAATGATATGAAAAATCAAAAAGACACGTCAATTTCATTTTCAAGGTAAACACTTGAAATGTATATTTTCAGTCCTCTTGGTTCAACCAATGGTTCAACCCTCTAGACAAACAAACATAATACTGTGTGTTCCAATTGAATTCACGAGGGAATTATCCCCACATCACTGGATCTTTGTTATCCAATGCTCTTGTTTTATTCAGAACACTATAAATTCGAATTTCAAATATCGAAAATCATCATTCAGCTCTTACTAACAGAAAAAAAGTATTCTTCTTTGTATTGCAACAATTTTGATTATGAAGAAAACCATTTCAATATAAAGAAAATACTGTGTGTTCCAATTCAGTTCACAAGGAAATTATCCCCACATTACTGGATCTTCAATATTCATTATTTTACAATGCTATTGTTTTATGCAGAACACTATAAATTCAAATCTCAAATCTCGAAAATCATCAATCAGCTTTTATTAACAGATAAAAAGAGAGTATTCTTCTTTGTATTGTAACAATTTTGTTTTAGAAGAAAACCAGAAGAAGAAGAAGAAAATAAACTTTATTGGACATAAAATAAAAAATACATTATGCCAAATAGCTAACGACCAAAGTCTTCCTGCCAGTATACAGGGTGTTTCATAATTGAATGCTGATCCTAAAGGACGATAATCCTTGGATGATTTTTAAAAAAATTCTTCATGTGAACATAGGTCCGTAACAGCTTCGTTTCTGAGATACAGGATGTTGAAATTTACCAAAAAAATCAGTTATTCCCCAATATCTCTGGAACCGCTCTGGCTTTTTTCTTCAATTTTGGTACATGCCGAGTATGAATAGAAATACATTTTTTCCATGATAAAGGATTTCTTAATTTCCATCAGTGGAGTCCCTGTTAACATACTCTGTCATATTTTTCATCAAAATAATGATACGCCACTGTCTTTTTTCCAAATGGATATTATTTTTGTAATTATCCTCTATCTTCTCATAAAAATGGTCTCTTGTCTTTTTTTTGTCCGGCGAACGGTTTTTGAGTTAGAAAATAAAATGCATTCATTTGCTTGTCCCTATTCGATTTTTACTCTTAGTCATAATTTCACAATTGTGGTAACCAAAAGATCTGACCAATATTCTTATAATTTTATGGTAACTATTTTTAAGTATTTGTAATGAAGAAAAAAGCCAGAGCGGTTTCAGAGATATTGGGGAATAACTGATTTTTTTGTTAAATTCCAACATCCTGTATCTCAGAAACGAAGCTGTTACGGACCTATGTTCACATGAAGAATTTTTCTTAAAATCATCCAAGGATTATCACCCTTTAGGATCAGCATTCAATTATGAAACACCCTGTAGACTAAATCATTTTATGTATTTCAATTGCATTATTTAAATAGTGATTTTTACAAGGTGAATTATGAAAGAAAAAGTGCATTTTATACATTATTATTCTATCTGTTGGTATTTTGTCTGGAGAGTGAATCATATAGGCTGAATTCAGGAAATTTGCGTTTGATGGGAGTAAGGGGATTGGTCTGGTGAATGAGGGGCTGTATAAGGGTGATGTTTACTTGTTTGTTCGCAAATTTTTTGGTCAGTCTGGTAATTCGGGTGAGGTAGGTTCTATTTTAGTTTTTTGGTATGGGAGAATGTTTGTGAAGGGTTGTGAAGAGGATTTGCAGGGTGCCTTATTTTGGTAATAGTTCTTAGACAGCTTCTCTCCGCCACTTCCAAGTTCCGCTGAGTTGACCATTGAGAAAACCATTTTTCTTAAAAATGTAAATTTTTAACTCACCAACATAAAGATGTTTGTTACTGTTTTATTTTTTTTCTGTACAGCACCACAGCCAAAGAACACTTGCGCGTCCATACTGGCGAGAAGAACTTCAAGTGTGAGTTCTGCCAGAAGAAGTTCTCCCTCAACAAAGCCCTCTACAAGCACATCCGGGAAAAGCACCCGAAGCTGTTTCCCGAATTCAAGAAGAAAAACGACCTGCCTCCGAACATGAGAAGGGCCCTGGAAAAACTGAAAAGGGAGTCGATGAACATCGACGACAACGACGTGAAAACCGTCAATATCAAGAGTGCTAGTGAAAGTGAACTCCAAAAGGGTGCTAAGGAGATCAAACCAGATCCGGATGAAAGTGGGGGTGATGTAGACAGTAGGAAACAAAGTAGGGTTAATAGTATTAAAGAGGATCCTGATGGTCCAGTGCAAACTATGATGAATGGTGTGGAGAATGCAGTGGTGAAAGATGAACCTATAGAGGTTTGTGTTAAAGTTGAAAAGGAAGACGAGTTTAGCTAATGGTGATTTTGTTTTGCAATTTTGTTTGAGGGGGGGGGGTTATGGATGGTTGTACTATAGGGGAAAATGAAATATTGTTTTAACTGATTAAATTAGTAATTTGAAATGCTTTGTTTTATTTATTTGGACTTGTGAGAAAATTGTCAGTCGAAATTCTACACAAAATACAGTAGATATTTGAGAAGGTTAATCTGAAGGTGATTGCAGTTCTGAAAATAGGTGATGATCAGAAAATGACAGGCTGATTCTTTTGATGATTTTGGAATTTGGATGATTTTGTAGCCAAATTATTACCTACTTTTCCAAAATATTTCTTTGCATATCATTTCTTGGAACCTTTAGGCCGGGAAATGAAGTCTGAAAGAACCCTTAATCCGGAAATGAATAGTGCAAAGCAGATTATTGTTTGAAGTTGTAGGGTTTACCCTTAGGATTAACATTCCAAATGTCCTTATGCGTTAGTCGGGGGGTCGGGGGGAAGGTGGATATGGCCGATGTGAAAATCTAATTTAATCCTTATTACAAGGAAACAAGACAGTTTGTATGGTGATCAACATCTCATGGTCTTCTGGTTCTTCCTTATACTTTTATTCTTCTTCTTTCTCTTCTTCTTTATTTCTTTCCATACTTTGTTTTTTCTACTCAATAAACAATTTTGTTTAGTTCCTGGTGTCACTTACCACTGTTCTATTGTGTCATTACGGTCATTTTGCTTGTCATTAAATTCTATTGTTTTGTGTTCAACTGTCAAAGTCTTCGTTCATCTTTCAATTTGTCTTCAATTTTTCATTTCCGTGTTCCATGGCTCCCTTAATCACATTATGTAATTCATAAAAAACAATACTGGATAAAATGTTCAATCTTATCAGAGCCAGTTTTTTCTAGCTCTGCTGAATTCAAAAAGAACCACATGTGCCTGATATCTCGTTGAGGATTTGATTTGCCCGTCATGTTTGTTCTTCCATAATGCTACTTAGCTTTATACTTTGGTATGTTTTTAAAAAAAAATCACTCTGATGGCATTGTCATATTTCATCATTTCACAGGTACGTTTTTGTCTGATGATGGCCGTTGCGACGAAACCGGTTAAATGTAGTTTTTGATTGTTTTATATATGAAGTGTGGTCGATCGACTTTGATCTACTTGTTTTTCTATTGAAATTACATTGGACCACTTTGAGATATGGATGATTTTCATGATTTAACATCTTATGGCTTGGTAGAATATGAATTAATGACAATTAACAATTCAACAAGAATTTTGTGATGTCCCTGGCTAGTATGAACAATTCAGAGTCGATGGAAAATCAGTGACCATTGATCCTTGACTATTTTTGGTGAAATATGCAACCTGTACGTGACACATACATCAACCACCATGGTAAAAAGTGCACTGTGGTATTTCACGGCTACGGCGATGCTAATAGCAGCCAAAGGGCAAAAAAAACCGCCATATTCGAAATGGTCAATCAGAATTTTCTGTCGGAACCATAGCCAATGAGACTTCACCTTCGCATTACCCAATCAAATTTTGGATCTGAAAACAAGCGCATACGTATATCTTAATGAAAAGGCCTATATTGCTCTATTGATCACTTTCAATTTCTCACTCATGTCTGAATCTTCAATAGTCTTTTATGGTCAGCTCTGCTGCAGTTTGTTGAATCTTATAGATAGATACCTAAGATATTTTATAAATTATCAGATAGAGGTATCTTTGGAAATTGTTGAAACCAATGACGGCTAAATATCAAGTAAGCTGCCTATTGGTTGAAACACTATCTACAGAGAACAATCCTTTATTAAAAATGAGGATACATACGTGGAAGTACATTGTAGGTACTTATACTCAAAATGAAAATTCAATAATATACCTATGATACCTAAAATCAATGAAAATAAATATGAAACAAATATTTACATATTATAATACTGCATTTGAGGAATATGAAAGTGGCCCAATAATTTAGTTACTGAATGAAAAATTCGAAATTCGGATAATTTTTGTTGACAATTCAACGAACAACTTCATTCTCAAACAGAAAAAAGTCAATACTTCTTCGATAGGTACAGTGTTTTCGTATCAGAGGTTAAAAACTGTGAGTATATTCTAACAAGAGTTTCCTGATATTTTAGTCTTGTATACAGTGTGTCCAAGATAAGGTTGAACAGCATGGGGATCTCGAAAACGGTAAGAGATACGAAATCGGTTAAATGGGGAAAAAGTTGCGCATTCGGAGGCTCATATCAAGAGCCTTCGGAAATTTTGAAAATTATTTTTAGTTTTTGAGCTATATCGAAAAAAGTGAATTTTTGGAATTTCTATTTCATTTTTTTTCTCCGTTATTATTAGAGATACAGCAAAACTGAGAATACTTTTTCATAGCAACTTTTGATGAAAGTCAATGTGGTGATACCGATTTTTTCATGCGACGTTTCGTATTCGTGGAACCATCATCAACTTTTGTTTTTTTAATACGGTCCTGATAATTTTTTCACAGATTCTAAAAGGTTTTTTTTTTGAATTCAACCATGTATTATACAAGGTGGTTCTTTTGTGTTTCGACCTATTTTTGGCTATCATTAATGTTTTTTCGAAACTTCAAAGGAAAAATGCCATCAGTTCCACTTATTTTGAAGGAAAATTAGTCAACACACTAATACCTCATCAACTGGTTTCAATCAACAACCCATTTCATTTTGCGGAAACAAAAATTCCATCCATACAAATACAGAATATGTCAAGCGCTAAAACCAGGCGATGACGAAAGGTGCAAGACATTCTGTGAGTGGTATACCAGGAAATGTTAAAATTTTGCAGATTTCCCTCGAACTATCATCTGGACTGATGAAAGCATGGTCACTAATCATGGTAGCTTCGATAAAAAAAATACACATTATTGTTCACGAGAAAATGAACATTTATACATTACAGCGAGACACCAACACCGTTTCGGCTTCAATATGTGGGTTGCAATATTTGGTACACGAATTATTGTTCCTTCTATTTACCATGAAACACAGACATCCGAACTTTATAGAAATTCGCTTGAGAATCATCTTGAGGAAGCTCTGGATGATTTACCGATTGCGGAAGTTCAGAACTGTTGGTTTCAACAAGATGGCGCTCCTGTACATAATTCCAGAGAAGTCCGTGCGTTTTTATCCCTTGGCCGGCGCGGTCGCCTGATTTGACACAGCTGGATTTTTTCTTAGGGGATATATCGAACTTTGTACACGCAAATAACTCTGATGATGAAGAAGAACTAAGGGACAGTGTCTTCGAAGCATTCAATAGAATAACCCCAGAAATGCTTAGCAATGTCTTAGAAACAACTGTGAGAAGAGGATATCTTTGTTCAGAAAATAATGGTTATCATTTTGAACATTTGTTATGAATGTCTCTGTAGGTATTGTCAAAGTTAAGTTGTTGAAGTAATTCGTGTAAGAATTCATCAACAATTTTAAACGCTGCATTGCTCGAATGATGTAGTGAAATATTTTTCATTTACTTTTCAGTATTGGATAACTAATCCATCAAGTTTGACACTAAATGATCAGAAATAAGTGGAACTGATGGCTTTTTTCTTTTGGAAGTTCGAAAAAACATTGATGATGGATAGAAATAGGTCGAAACACATTCGTATCACCTTGTATAGTACATTGTTGAATTCAGAATAAAAAAACCTTTCAGAATCTGTGAAAAAATTATCAGGACCGTATTCAAGAAACAAAAGTTGATGATGGTTCCACGAATACCAAACGTCGCATAAAAAAATCGGTATCACCACGTTAAACCTCATCAAAAGTTGCAATGAAAAAGTATTTTCAGTTTTTCTGTATCTGATAATAACGGAGAAAAAAAAAAATAAAATAGAAATTCCAAAAATTCACTTTTTTAGATATAACTCAAAAACTAAAAATAATTTTCAAAATTTTCGAAGGCTCTTGATATGAGCCTCCGAATGCGCAACTTTTTTCCCGTTTAAGCGACTTCGTATCTCCTACCGTTTCCGAGATCCCCATGCTGTTCAACCTTATCTTGGACAGACTGTATACACTTTAGTAGATACACTTGTGGTAATGACAAATTACAGTCGTGGCGATCAAAACACAGCTAAACAACGTATTGACATTGTCATAGACGAAATAAATCCAGTCTTATTAATCATCAGCCCACCAAAATTCTTCAGTTCTGGCACATTTTGCCGACGCCCTGCGCTCGTTTGGCGTTGATCCTGGCCTGCAAGGTCACCAGCAGCCCCCCGAGGACGTCGTGGTTGGGCAGCTTCTTGGCGAACAGCAGCCGCTTCACCGTGTCGTCGTAAGTCAGCAGGGCGACCATGTTCTGCAGCAGGAAGGCCTGGCAGTACTCCAACAGCTGGCCGGCGTTGTACACCTGCGAACGAAAATTCTCCAGTAAACACAAACATTCCAGACTGAGGTGCAATAAATTCCAGCTCCAGTGTTCAAAAAATTCCGTTTTATAATAATGCCTGTTGCTCTCCTTCGATGATAGATATTTCCATACTCATAACATTGAATTAGTTGATCGTCAGATAAAAGTACTCTACAAAACAGAAGAGTATACAGGGTGTTTCAAAAAAACCTGACCCCCTTACTAGGGTAGGTAGAACATTGCAAAATAAATTGGGTTTACTCAGTAAAACATTTCGTAACGGCATCCGTTATCAAGATACAAGGTGTTGAAAAAATATTTTTCGAGATTATGTCGAAACTACTGGCAACATTGTGATGAAATTTTGTATGGATGTTTCTTGGAATCTGACACATCGCATGCATTTGTTTTTATATCTGACTCTCATAGAGGGCGCTTGTTACACGGTTCGCACCGAGTAGTTTTGAACATAACTTTTTTGGGGTTAGATTTTTCAATCAAAATTTGATGTGAACTTGAACATCATTCAATTCCACATCAAAAAGGTACTCTTGATGAAACTCGATACTGTGTTCCGTTTTCGGAATATTTCGATTTGAAAATGATGAAGTGGTAACTGTTGCTGGTATAAATAAGATATGTATTAGAGTGAGTAATTGAGTATTATGAAAAATTATCACCTATTTATTGAAAACAGTAAACAACAATACATTTCTGATGCTGAACTTATTGATTTAACAATGCATCATAAGAATAACATCGAAACAGATTTGACTAAGAACATGGATTTCACAGTTTTGTTGTATCTTGAGCAGAAATAAGTTTATGCTACATAGGTCAATTCACGTCAAGAGTTGTAAGACATAATTGAACATCACTCAAAGTACCTACTAGCTGATTCTCAACTGTTTAAAAGAATAAATACATTCTCAAGAAAAGAATATAGAATCGTGTATTAGTCGAATCGTAGGACATTTTGGACTCCCACTCTAACTGATATAATATTTCATGTTTCCAGTCAAATATCTTAATTTTCTACTTGTGATTCTTTGTTACATCAATAACTTCAGTACAAGAATGATTTCATTGTATTTGAATCTGGAAAAATAGGTAATTGAACTCAAAAAAATTCATTTTTGTACCAGCATCAGCTATTCCCAATAAACACAGCTACGTGAAAAAAACGTTGAATTGTTCAAGTAACGCCTCTATTATTCATCGTTGAAAAAACGGCAAAATGTCGTTAGGCAATACGTTTTATTCTGGTTCTACAGTAACGTTACCTCTTCACGTTGATTCATCGTAACTAAGACGTTGCACACGTAGCACACGTAATGTGAATTCTACTGATATATACCGTTTTATTTCAGTTCCGACGTAACCATTCAAATCAACAGTTTCTTAACGTTTTCTATACGTTTCCAACCGATTTAAATATAACGATGTATTTTGGTTTCAAACTTGGTTTCAAAGTAACGTTGCTGAGATACGAATTGTGAACGTTGATGTTAACTCTAGAATTAAACGTGAAATTGCAGAATTCAAGTAACGTTGATCTTCTAGATTGAATCAACGATGATTTATCTTATCGTCGAATTGATATTACTACCAATTTTAAACGTAACTAAAACGTTTCTGAGACATTAGGTGAAGTAACGTTTCCATTTTCACTACGGATCAATCTCTATTATCATCGCAAATTGATAAAAAATAAAAAAAATAACCAAAATACATATACAAGATTCATAATGTGTAAAGTCCTAGATCCTAGATATCAATGGAATCTCAATCAGATAGGTATCACTATTTTGTTTTCGACTCGAGACTTGATGGCGTCATTCATCCGTTTCTTCGCAAACTTCAACCAGTCCTTGGTTGCATCTGCAATATGGACATCAGTTGCTGCTTCAAACTTCCTTTCGACAGCAACTGCATAAATTATTCAATATGAATATAATGAAAAACGAAAAAAGAAATTTACATACCATAAATTAGTTGGATCACCTTTGTGTCCTTGAGTGCAGCCACTTTTCCTTTGCCTTTTTATTTATAAAGACGAACTAGCTCATTGGTTCTCAAAATCCTCCATGTATGTTCCTCTGGAGAATTGCCAGCAATTGACTTCAATTTTGTTATCTGAAATTTCGGCTCATTTGTGATCGAAACAAATTCTGGAGAATCAATGATAATTATTTATGAAATGTCTGTCTCATCATTCCTATTAATGTTCCTGAATATTGAGTACCGGTTTTCAACCGTTTTCCTACCTTTATTCCATCAACGCATTCAAGAAGTGTTTCATCTACCTTCTATACACGTTTCATCACCGTTATGAGAGGTGGTTAGACAAAACGACTCCAATAATGAGATGTGATTTTTCTCGACCGAGAATTTATAACTATGAAATATAATTAAAACTCCATGATATAAATTTGTGCAAGTTGGACTAAGTACCTACTGCATGGGAGTTTGTAAACCTTCCGACATAATCGAATAAGTAGGTATAACTTTTGATAGGTGAATGTACTCATTTTGCTTCGAATTGATCATCCTTGCAATCGTCTTCAAGAGATGACCATTGGAAATATTCGGAATTTGCACAATACATAGGTAGAATTCAATAATAAAGTGGGTACTTACCAATCTCATATCTTCTCACATCCACGCATAACCTCTGAAGAATCACAATAAACTGTTAACCTTAATGGCGTCAGACGAACTGTGAGCATACTTGCGAGTGGCGGTGGCGGACTGCCGATAGGTCAGGTTCATTCAATACGAATTCTTTTGAATAATTCATCCAACGGATCGAACACGTATTTTCAGAACGTTTAATAAACGTTAAAAAAGTTGTAATTATAGATCGTGGTATCAAGGTCGTTAATGCCACGTTCTATAATTACAACTTTTTTAACGTTTATTAAACGTTCTGAAAATACGTGTTCGATCAGTTGGATGAATTATTAGTTGTTATTCAATAATTCATTCAACGGATCGTACACGTAATTTCATAACGTTTAATGAACGTGAAGAAAAAAGTGCATGAAACGTGGAATAACGGTTTCTTGAAGATATAGTTGCTATGGAATAATTCATTCACCGTATCATACACGTAATTTCAAAATGTTTAATGAACGTAAAAAAGTATCTATCAATTCAAAACTGGAACATTATAGATTGCCCGAAGATGAAGTTATCATTGAATACTTTATTAAACGGATCATTCACGTAATTTCATAACGTTTAATAAACGCGAAGAAAGTAGTGATTGAAACGTGGAATAAAGGTTGCTCAAAGATATAGTTGCTATTGAAAAATTATTCAACGGGTCATACACGTGATCTCAAAACGTTTAATAAACGTGAAACAGAGTAGTAATTGAAACGTGAAATATAGGTTGCTTCAAAATATAGTTGTTATTGAATAATTGATTCAACAGACTTTATACGTGATTTTGGAACGTTGAATGAACGTAAAAAAAATACGTAATTGAAACGTGATAAAGAGGTTGCTCAAAGATTCAGGTTGCTGAACAATATCATACTCGACGTTATTTCGATGTTCTATGAACCTCATTGAATATACGATGAGGAATCACAATAATGACACGTTGCATACTGGTGGCTATATAGACGAGTTGAATCATTGTCGTTTATTATAAGTTGAATCAACGTTTGGTTGAATATACGTTACGAAAGTAACGTTGCGAAATTCAACGAGTAACGTTTAATCAACATCCACTACTATACATAAACGTATATTACACGTGTGTGTGTTTATTGGGTTACTCCATTATTTTCAAATCGAAATATTCCGAAAATGGAACATTGTATCGAGTTTCACCAAGAGTACCTTTTTGGTGTAAAATTGAAAAATCTAACCTCAAAAAAGTTATGTTCTAAACTACTCGGTATGAACCGTGTAACTAGCGCCCTCTATGAGAGTCAGATATAAAAACAAATTCATGCGATGTGTCAGATTTCAAGAAACACCCATACAAAATTTCATTACAATGTTGCCAGTAGTTTCGACATAATCGTGAAAAAAGTGTAAAAATATCATTTTTTCAACACCTGCTTATTGTATCTTGAAAACGGATGCCGTTACGATATTTTTTCACTGAGCAAACCCAACTTATTTTGCCGTGTTCTACCTACCCTAGCAAGGGGGTCAGGTTTTTTTGAAACACCCTGTATATATGCTCAGATCGAAATACTCTTTGATCGTATAGAAGCAGTTTTTCAGTAGGAAAGCTCTGAATTGATAAAAGTTCTAGAAGGTATCTTATTGTAGAGGTGCAGATTCACAGAGTTTCTTTTTGACATCTGTAACCTGAGCTCAGGTATTATAATCAAATTGCCATTTCGAGTGGAATAAGGGTGCAAATTACATTAACAAGATCTGAGAACATGTGGAATGACAATGTTCCTTAAACGTCGGATCAAAATGGTTATACTAGAAAGTTTCTTCGCTAGTGATTCGATATGAGGAGCCCAGTTGAGCCTATCGTTTATAGTTATGGACGCCAAGTAATTTCACACAATCACCTTGAGTGATATTTCATTTCGAAGAAACCATCAGGATAGTTTTATTTTTATGTAAGTTACTTCCAAGTTTATCACAAGTGAACCAAGTTTGAGCTGAATTGATAATATTTCTCGACATCGTACATAAACTGTTTAGGTATGTACTTTGACAAATAAATGTTGTATATCATCTGCGAGAAGAACGGTCTTTGTCGGAGATATAAAATAATGAAGGTCATTAATATAAATAAGAAATAGAGGGGCCCAAAACAGAGCCTTGAGGAACACCGTGTTCAATAACCTTTAGCTCAGAGAGAGCACCACATCGTCTAACACACTGGGATGTTGTAACCGTTTATCAGGCTCCCTTTCCGAAAACTTCATTTCATAGTCGGGTACCTATACTTGGTGCAAGGTGCAGGATACTATATCATCTCTCTGCATGGAGCTGTGTATTTTCATACCGTGTCCATGGAGTTAAAAATCACTCATCCTGAAGATCCCGATCAGGATATTGAAATAAAACTTTCAAATCATGCTATTGTCATCGGTTCTTGATGCGAAGTTTCAATTTAATTCGACGTTTTGAAGTGGGTCAAAATCACCCATCTCTCTGATGGTTCATGAGTAGGTACCCACTTATTATTGGTGTAAGACACAATGAACATTTGAAATTTTAGTGAGGGAACATTTCGAAATTTTTGTGACGGATCATCATTCACCACTGTAATCGAGAAAAAAAGCTCATCCTGAAGATCCTGATATGGATAATGGAACGAACCGTTGAATTATTCTATTCAATTCGACGTTTTGGAGTGGGTCAAAATCACAGATGCATATCAACCAAGCTAATAAAAACTTGGTTATTGTGAAAACCTTTCCTCTGCTGCTTGTGTTGTAACCTCAGGTATTAAAATACTCTTCATGAGTTATCATAAATTAAGTATAATAAGTGTTTCTCTACACCGTTCATCGTCGCGATCAGTATCATATACAAAGTATTAAAAATTATTGTTTGCTTGGAAACCACGAAAAACCAATTGATGGAGTATTATTAGTTATCTGCTCGATGAATTCCTCAGTTTATATACGCTCGCACTTTGAAATATCCCAGATAGCACAAGACGTCTTTAAGATGTCTGAATTATATCCTATCTTAGTCTGTACGTCTTACTCCCTGAATAAGACGTCTACAAGATGTCATCATTCAGACGTTTTAAAGATATCTGATTCTCACGTCCTAAATACGTCTTAAAGACATCGTAATAATACAAATAAGCAATAATGATATTTGGTATATTATAATTAGTATTAATCATAATGTTTTTTAGTGTGTCATATCTGAACGTTCTCCACTCTCAGAATTCCTGAATTCCACACTTAGTTATGGTTCTATTCTCATAATATGCGTTAAACTTTTAATAAAAAATATAGGTATGATCATATTGATTCAGGCTAATAGAATATTTTCAATTTCATAATTTTTATAACTTCACCGTAATACATAGTACATAGAGGTTATTATATAGATTATTCAGAGTAAGTTATTTTATAAATCGGGTGGGATGATTTGAAAATACCGCCATGTCAAACGAAAGAGAAATCGTAGCGCCAGAGCCAGAACGGCGAATGCCAGTACTATTTGATTGTTTACATTTTACATTGTTTGGTTTTGGTGATGGTGTTCATTGAGAGGTGTGTTTATGTTAATTTCGTTTTGAGTTCTTAATCATTCTCAGCTTTGATATTTGTGTATGTTTTAAATCCGTGTTTTCCAGTGGTTCATTGTGTTTTGATTGAAGACAATAATATATCTGATGTTTAACAGTAGGACACCTACCTACCTCTAGTTGGAATGTTGAACCTAAAACCTATACCAACATAATGATAAGCTGTAAGTTTTTATCATTATTGAACAAGAATTCTTATGATTTGGCCATTTAGCCTGTGCATTTCAATCTGTCTACACTTTTTCAGTGATGCAGTGTCTCCAAAATGAAGCTGAGCTCATAAATGCGGGCCACCTTGTTTTCACCTGGTCAAATGGATGCAAATAATTGCATTGAAGTATAATAAGTATTATGCCTTATTATGTTAACAGTCCACTGTGTGTTTCAGGTAAGAAGAACTCTCCCTAATAATTATATTGGTAAACTCCTGAAACTCAACTCTATATATCATTGTTTTCAGGAAGAATGTGGGATCTTCCAGAGATATAAATATGCTTGATTGACACAAAAAGCAATCAACAGAGGGACTAATACAATCAGTATTCCTGTAGATGAGATGCCCTGTTTTAAAAAAAAAAATGAAGAGACTGGTTATATGAAACATAATGAATATTCTCAATTTTCCTATCACAAACAGGGTGGACCAGCAACTTCTTTTCTGGAAATGTCAAACCTGTCCTTGGTAGTTGTACTTTTCAAATAAATGTCACAAAGGTCAACTATTTATTTGTGTTGTATGTACCTACATGTTTGCTTCATAACTGACACTTTGACTTGAAAAACATAGGAATGAAAACAGTTATTGAATAATACTTTTAACATCCAAATACTTCAAATTTCACTTTAATTAATCCCCAGAGGAACCTTGAAATCCATTCAGAAATGAGGTCTTTTTCATGTCTTTTCTATGCCTTTATAAGACTCAGAAGATACATTATAAAGATATCTTAAAGACGTCGTGATTTTTAACATCCGGCCTATAGAGGACGTCTTTCAGACGTCTCTAAGGCGTCCATAGACGTCTTAAAGACGTTGTGAACGTCTGAGAACGATGTCTTTAGGATGTCTTAAAGATGTCTTTGTGCTATCTGGGATAGTGATTATCAATTGCTTTCGATCGTTGAGATATACTCTATGGTAGTTGCTTAGACAATTATTGATCGAATAATTGATTAATTGATTGACCTTGGCATGGATGTACATCGAGACCACGTTGTCCAAAGCGAGGATTTCGGCGCATCGTCTTTCGCAGTATCTCAGCAGGCTATCCAACTGGAAGAAATTCGCCGCCGCCATCACTTCCAGGATGTCTTCTTGGGCCAGCTCGAGGGATTGGCAGCCTCCTTGGTACAAGAATTGCATGACGATCTGGAAACAAACCCCATGGTGAATGTTCGAACTAAACAAAGTTTCGATCAACGTACGGAAAAGTGTTCCCTGTGAGACATTTTTCATAATGATAACCCCACCCAAGAAGCACACATAGGTTCCCAATCAGCCAAAGTACGTCTTAAAGACGTCTTTAATACGTACATTTTCCACTAATATGTACGTCTTTAAGACGTCTTTTTTAGGTGTTTTTGGTCCATGACCTCAAATTGATCTTTCAAATTACGGAAAAATCACATAGTTTCAGTTGATTTTCACCTGTGCACTGAAGTTATGAAGTTAGCAACAGGTGCAGACAAGCAAAAAAAAAGGGAAATAAACGACTTCATCAAACGGTAGACACAAGCGGTCACCCATTCAAGTACTAACCGCGCTCTTTGTTGCTTGACTTCGATGATTATACCATATTCACTTCTTCTGTTACTCTGTTTGTTCTATATATCACATAACAAGCTTTTACTTAGTTAAACATGTCCTTTTGTGTCTGTTTGTAATCAAAACGTGCAAGTTAAATTTGACTCCCTTTAAATCGTCCGATTGATTTGAAATTTGGCAAGTAAATATTATTCCGGTGACAATTCGTTGTGATATTATTATTGAATGGAAAAACAGAATGGCGGATCCAATATGGCGAGCGATGTGGCATATGGTTTTCTGATTATGGTCTGATCTGATTCAAAATTGGCATCTGAAGGATTTCGGGATCAGAGATTATAATTCCTTTTGTCGAAAATGAAAAATCCAAGATGTCGGCTTCAAAATCGCGGACGAGTTTTGTGATTATATAGTCCGATTTTATTCAAAATTGATTACTATGGGACTTTTGGGGTCGGAGAATATGATTTTTTTGCAAAAATTCGAGAATCTAACACGAAGGCTCCAAAATGTCGGATGAAAAAATTCGAAAACATCACTTTTGTTGAAAATAAGAAAAAACTGAACAATTGAAATTAAAAAACGTGAAGAGATGACATTTTGTTTTTCTTCAGAAAATAACTTACATTATTGTTCTATAAGTCGAATTGACGTTCTGGAATGTACGTCTTTAAGACCTCTTTTATACGACATGGGAGGAACGACGTGGATACGACCTAAAATGTACGTCTTAAAGACGTAAATTCGTGTACGTCTTCAAGATGTACATGGATTTACATCTTAAAGACGTACTTTATACGTCCCTGGACGTGAAGACGTAAGTAAGTCGTAAAATGTACGTCTCTAAGATGTCTGGTGCTGATTGGGTTATGAATGGGTTTTACAGACATCTACAAGTCCATGTTCAAAAGTCCGTGCCGTGACGTCTTGTACTATGCTCTAACATCGGTATGTATGGCAATACAATGAAAAGGCGCACTTTTGCGGCGTCACATCGACTTTATAATCTAGTCGTAATGATTTCCTAATGAATACTACCATTGTCTGCTGAATCCAGTAAATCTGTTTAGGGTTCATTCTTCATGATTTCCCGCATACCCTTCTGAGATTCCAGTGGGAAAATCTGGCTTGGTTAATAGTTTTTGCCATGTGGGCGTTCCAGCCCAGTTAACACAGATTTACTCCAGAGATATGAGAGAGCATCACATTCATGCCACACATTACATTCGTGACTCGAAATGAGAGTCCCACTGAAATCACAATGACTGCCATTCCGGACCCTTTTGGTCATTTAATGATTCACATTATGGAATGGAACTCACAGTACGTATTGAGCGCGACTATTATTCATTCAACATCAAAATTGATTAATTCCATTTGTTACATGAATAGACAAGAGTGTTAGATTCCAGTGAGTCTCTTGGTTCTTAGGGAGCCTCACAAATTCACCTACATTTCAAATCTCAAATCCAATAAAATGTGACAAATATTGCGGATGTTTCGTTAAATAAAGAGTCGACTGGCAATACCAATGATGTTTTCTTGAGATTCGCATTGCTACGTAGCGAGACATATAAATGTGCCATCTAACGGATGTTTGTGTTTACTGGGAGGCAGAGGCGGACTGGAGGCCGGGCAGTCGGGCGATCGCCCGTGGGCCGGTGCCCTTTGGGGCCGGTAGAAATTTTGAAAGAATATAAAATATATACATAGACAATGCAGAGAAAGCTACCTCAAACGTTCTGTACGATGCAAAGAGAAGCATTCTTTCTAAATGTAAGGATTTTCTAATAATCAAATAATATTAACTGAAAACTCAACCAGGAAGGATTATGAAAGTGTCAAAAATTATTATCCTGCTCATGAAATGAGCCTTGACAGTTTGCAAATGGAACTGATAGATTTTGAATTGACTCGGCCGTTACTTGATGGAAATCCATGGCCTAGTAAAAACCTCACAAACTATAAGATTTCCACAATATTCTCAAAACACGACATGTAGCTTCGTCAGCTTCGTCAGGTGATATACTGGTACAATGAACTTAGTTCATTGTACCAGTATAAGTGGAAATCTTATCGTTTGCGAAGTTTTTACATTTGGAACTGATAGATTTTGCCTCGAAGTAGTAAAGACTGTCGAGTACTTTATCAGAAGATATGATGGATGGTGGAAATTATGTCTTCGATGTAGAAGAGGAATTAATTTCATCACAACACAAGTTCTGCAAAAAATGTTTATTTTGTTGCTACCATGTTTCGCACGAATACAATACAAAAATATGTATATATATGCACACATCATTCTGAATATTCAACAGAAAACAACTACTTTCCTGAATGATTATTTTTGGAAGTTTTCAAGCTCATCAAGATCAGAGTTTATATATGCCAGTATACTTCTCCTATATACATTCCAATTTCCATTTCAATGCTGAATATATTGGTAAGTTATATTTCTATATCATTATACATCATATTATTCATCCGATTTGAAGAAGAATGACAATTCTTAATTTCGGAGGATTTTAATTTTTATTTTTCATGTTCCCCTTTTGAATGTTCATCAGATACAATGCAATGTTCGACGAGGCAAATAGCCAGGAAAGTAGTTGTTTTCTGTTGAATATTCAGAATGATGTGTGCATATACATATTTTTGTCTGAAGGAGAATGCAAATTCTCAATTTCAGAAGTTTTTATATTTTATTCTCAAACTCTCATCGTGTGTGTTCAATAGATATAATTCAATGTTCGTCATGGCATATAGCCAGGAATGTAGTTGTTTTCTATTGAATAAATTGAAAAAGAGTGGATATTCTCATCAAATAGAGAATGCGAATTCTCAATGTATTGCTTCATATAAATATATATCCATTTTTGTTTGTTTATAATTTATCTGAGAATATTCCTTTTCAACATTCTATATCAATAGGAAGCGACAATATAATTTTTACCTCGTTGAAAAATGTGATGGATCCATAAGAGATTCACCTTTTCGGTTATTTATATCAATTTCTAATGCGGCTAATGTTTTATTTTTTGTTTTGGATAAATGAATCTCCTAGTCTTTCTGTAGCTTTTATATTATTCACCAAGGTGCTGTTCATCTGCCATAGAAATATCGCTTATATTATTTATTTCTATTTTTCATTCCTAGAATGTTATTTATGTTATTTATTTCATTTTTCTTCAGTATATTTGATGTTTCATCGACAGTTTTTTTGTTTGAGTTTTATTATAATGAAAGCTATTTGAATTACTTTTTTTCGCTTTTGTTCCTATATGTTACCAAAATACTTTATGAAATTTTATGAATTGCTATAGTAGTTTTGAAATTTTCTCCGGAGGTGGGCCGGTAAGGTTTAATTCGCCCGGGCCGATTCAAAGGTCCAGTCCGCCCCTGCTGGGAGGTGAGCATTTTCCCTAGGATGACACCTAGATATTTCTCCTTCGCCGTAAACGGAATGCTATCTCCATATAAGACAGGCTAAAGAAGCTTATCTAGCTTCAATAACCTCTTGGTGAAAGGGATGATTACTGTTTAACAGGGGTTCACATCAGACATCTGCACCCTCTCGCACCATATGTACACAGTATAGAGGGCTTCTTGTAGGTCGTGTGAGATCGTCGCTTCAAATTTTACATGAAACTGAATGAATTGAATAAAATGCGACTCACCTGGAATATATGATACCTGATATCATTGATTTGCACTATTGGCAGCCCCCCTTCGCTCATTTTGGAACTCAGCAGCGCCTTGAACCTGGAACTCACCGTCACCAGCAGTATTTTGTGCGCGTAGAACAGCCGGCCCTCCACCCTGAAGGTGACGTCGCTGAGTTCGGGATTGTTGACGTACTTCAGGTCTATCCGGGAACCAGCGGGAGTGGTCGGGAGGCAGTTTCTTATGGGTTTGATGGGCTCCCAGCCGAAGCAGGTGGAGAAGATGTCTGCCAGGAGGAGGGTCGTTCCTTCTTTCTGGAATGGAAATTGTTACTGTCATGATAGGCTTGAAATTTCGCTGTGTCAATAACGTTCGAATAGTGAAATCAACAATGTACGACTTGGAAAACATATAAGTTATTGAAAATAATTGTGAAACATTCTAGTAGTATTTGCTCTGAAATAATTTATAATGAAATACCATCAAAAATGAAACGTCTAAGTATCATAACTTTCAAAGAAGTTAAGAGTTGGCTTATAGAAAATGCATAAAAAGTCGATGATCTTTTTTAATATGAAATATATGTATATTTATTTCATATTAAAAAAGATCATGTCATTGGTAATATCTGTTTCGGCTGATATAAGTATTGATTATCTCATGAAGGGGATAAATGAAACTATAATTATGAAAAAATATATGTCTGCCCAACAAATTTCCCGCCAAATATTCATGCTATCCATCTGGACATGTAGAAAGCCTCAAGAGTTAGGTGAAGCTGATATTGAAAAACTCTAATCAACTGGCAAACCCATGCTTAATTAGGAACAGTGCCGGATTAAGCCAGCGCGGGGCCTGTAGCAAATTCTATCAAGGGGTCCTAGGTTTGCTTTGGAATATACCTATGTGGGCAAATTCAGAGATAACACTTTCAATATCGACTTCTTCAAGCAAATCATGCTCTATATTTATAAGTGAGATCATTGAGACGTTCTTGGCCCATCGTGTTCCTTCACTATTTTTTAATTCGTTTTAATACTACAAAAACGTTCGCCACTACAGTTAGCAATCATGAGATACACGTAAATTCGCAAAGCGATTTTTATGTTTCTGAAACATGATTCTGAAGAATTATTCAATGATAGTTTATGAAATTTTAGTTCCAGAGGCTTTTGTTTCGTGCTCTGAATGACAGTACCCACATTCGTTTTGAGCAGCTCAACGAACTACACTTTTTCGTCGCCTAGGATGGTTCCCAAATCATCTGTGTGAGCACTAAACCTTATTGAGGATTCTTCTAAAATCTCTTTCGCTGTCGAAATACGCCAAAAATACTAGAAATTTTATGAAATGTTTTCAAACGTTTAGTTGAAGCAGACAGTACGTTTTCAATAATGGAAATTAGTAGAGAGCCGCTGAAATGGTCGTACTTTGTATATCGCTTGATTCGTCCCTACGTTTATTGCTGATAGTATTCTTCACAGTCGTACAGATCTGATGCCATTTTTTTAAAGTTAGACAGGCCGGACAGGCGTTGGAGCGCGGGGCCCTTAGCATTTGCTACTCTTGCTACGTGGCTAATCCGGCACTGATTAGGAAGCAAGTGTTGACATGGCCCATCATTGATCCTAATGAAATAGACGGTTCTATGATTACCGCAAGTCACTATAAGTACAGGGTTATTCAAAAGTCCCGCCCTGAGCTCATAACAGGAAGGAGAAAATTGCAGATTTTGTGCTATTATTTGAAAGATACCTACAAGTAATTTCGTAAACTAATACGACAGTGATTATTTTCAGAAAAATAGAGATATCTCGAAAACTGTGATAGATGAGTCGACATAAATCGAGTTGGCTAAACTCAGAATTAGATGCTGAAAATATAGGTTTCCATTTGAAATATGAAAGTTGGTGCGAATTATTGGTGAACGGAAAATATTTCAGGTATATCGGATTGATTATGAGAGCTTACCAGATTTCAAGTTTTTAGTCCAACTGCAAGTTGAAAAACTAATGTGGCCTACGTAAATCATCCTGTATATATACACACCTTACTGTATCGAAAAATGTTGAACAGCAACGGCAAACATTCCTCGACGAACTGCGCGCTGTAGTCGTCCTGGCACACCTGCAGGAAGTCCTGCAGCAGCTGGTCGATGACGCAGTCCAACCGTGCCTCGTGCGCCGCCTCCAGGCTGTGCATCCAGCAGTGGAGGGTCCAGGGGACGCCAAGCGTCCTTATCTCCACGGTGACGTCAAGGTGGTTATTCTCGCCGCTGTGGTACATGGCCTCTTGCAGAGACTTTATCTGGGCCTTGGTGAAGGCAGTGGATTGGTTGGTCTGGTTTGGGCTTCCTGAAATGGTAAAGTATATCGTTAAAACCAGTAGGTAATAGTTTCTTCAACAACTTAAACGTTCAGGTTTGAGAAATTGTTTACCGACTCTCCCTGCTAACTAGTGTTTGTCAATTGTTCTGAAGTAAATGTGGAAGATATCTTGGCAAAATTGTTTTTTGTTTCGCAACTCATAGCTTTGAATGGAATTTTACCTCAGTATTTTCACTTCTGAGCTTTTTTTCTAGATGTTTGCATAGTCAAATATACCTTCAAAGGCTCCCAAACATCGATTTCGTAAATGGTATCAATATTTTTGATTCGATCTAGAAGTGGCAATCATAACCATCATTTTTGTGGAAATTTTCAGAAGCAATTGATAAATGTCATTAAGTGTCGGTTGTCATGGCTCATTGTCATGGCTCATTATCATAAACTGAAAACTAAGTTATTGGTGTCGATCAATATTCTTGTTCTTCAAAGAATTATTATTATCATGTATGCATGATATTAGTGATTATGGAAAATTCCTTGAACATATATCAAAAGTGTCTTTATTCACTGCATGACACTTATTGTAATTGGTATCGAAATCTAGGATTCGATCTAGAAGTGGCAATCATAACCCTCATTTTTGTGAATATTTTAAGAAACAATTGATAAACGTCATAAGTTCTTGTTTGTCATGGCTCATTTGTCATGAACTGGCACCTAAGTTGACATTGATTGATATTCTTGTTCTTCAAAGAATTATTAAATTACTCATTTGTACATGAAGAATATTAGTGATTATGGAAAATGCCTCAGACATATCTCAAAGGTCACTTCATGCACTGCATGACACTAATTGTGATAAATTGTGAGGTCGCGATGGTTGTTCTTGCAGCCGTGGTACATCTATCGCCTCTTGTTGGGTCTTTATTTGGGCCTTGATGAAGTGTGAGTGAGTGGATTGGTTGGTCTGGTTAGGTTTTCCTGAAACAACAGAGACATTGAACAATGCTATTAGTTTAGTAGTAGAGGGGATCCAGGGGACGCTGAGCGTCCTCATTTCGATGGTGACGTCGATATGGTTGTTCTCGCCGCTGTGGTACATGGCCTATTGCAGGTACTTCATCTGGGCCTCAGTGAAGGGGAGGAAGTAGATTGGTTGGTCTGGCTGGGGCTTTCTGAAGTAGTTTTTCTTCATAACTTTGAAGTACATGTTAATAATAAAGTGAATGTAAAAGACAAATTATTCCTCTCTTTTCTCAAATGTGCTGTGTCATATATTTATGTTGGCAAAAAAAGGCTTCAAAATATCAATTTTGTAAGTGGTTAGAGCGATATTTCTAGAATCTAGAAGTGGCAATCATAACCATCAGTTTTATGGAAATTTTAAAAATCCATCGGAAAACGTCATCATGTTTTGGTTGTTTTACCATACTCAAGAACTGAAGACTGAGCTGAATTGAATGATTGTTTTTTGTGGTTCGAAAAATTATTATCAGAGTGCTAGTGATTATCGAAATCTCTTTGGACACATGATTTCTGGCAGGGACTTCATTTTGGCCTTGGTGAAGACGATGGATTGGTTGGTCTGGCTATGGCTTCCTGGAACTGTTTTTCTTCATAACTTCCATATTTTTTAGCTGACTTGGTCCATAACAATGATCTTGAAGTAAATGTAAAATACAATTTTTCTTCTCTTTTCTCAAATGTGCTGTGACACTCAGACAGATAGTGATCTATTACAAAAGTAATGACAAGAATGCCACTGGTCTCTACCTTTGGCGTTGCTCTCCTCCAGCATCTCCTCCAGCGATAGCACCTCCTCGGTGGCGCTCTTCGGCGGCTGCGCGAGCAACTTGCGCACCGCCAGCCTGTGCCCGTGGGCTGCCGCTACCGACACGGGGCTGAAGCAGCCCCTCTGGGCTGCGGCCGAGTACGAGAGCGTGTCGTAGATCTGCGTGGACAGGAACGGGTTGGCGCCGTGCGAGCAGAGGAGGGACAACATGTCGAGGTTGCCGCTGCCGCAGGCCACCTGTAAAATTGAAATTTGAATACCCTCAGTACCCAGTTAACAAAGAATAATCCCAGAGATATATCCCAGATAGCACAGAACCGTCCCGAAAACGTCCTCAAGCTGTACTTCTCGGACATTGGAAACGTCACCAGAACGTCCATTTTAGGTACGGCGTACTCTTTCAGAACGTTTTGAGGACATACAATGTTACACAACCAGAGGTCCCCAGGACGTACGATGAAGGTCCTGTTCAGGTCTGAACGGGACCATTAATACCTGAATCAACGTAGTTCCACCTTTTTTTTACTCAGACAGTCGAAAAGGGTAAAAAAATATAATTATGTGCGAATGTTGATTGATCCTTATTCACATCGATACTTGCATGGAATTTGATGATCATGGCAGAGAATAACTAAATAGATGTTATGTGATCAGGTACGGCCAGTAAACAAGAATTGTGAGAAATGTATTATGTTCATGTTTGCAAGGTTCCTAAATGAATAGATATCAGAGATCGAGAGTAGAATAAATTATGTGCAATGATCTCAATTATCATTATATATACAGTTTTATTCAATCTCGTCCCTTGAAAGTCGATAAAGAGTTGGACGTACCCAGAACATCGTAATCGTACGTACCCAGTGCGTTCAGAAACGGACGTTTTCAGTGAAAAGGCCTCGGACATTCAGACCTAAATCGGTCCTAAGCTGGACGTTCTCAGGCCGAGTGCTCTGGGATTAAAGGTACCGGGTGACACAAGATGAGACATGTCAGACAGCCTGAAGTTTTTTTATTTGAGGAGATAAAAATTTGAAATTCACAAGGGTTATATTATCGATGATGGCGCTTTCCTTGAACCCAATGACAATTTTCTTCAACCACCTGTTAGATTGGAAGTAGACCCAACTTTTTTTTTCATAGGGCACCCTGTGTACATTTCTGTAGCCTTTCTTATTTGCCTTGAAATTTTCTATTCAACTATGTATTACAATTTGATATGCGTTCATTGATTGGCTGTTAAATTGCATTCTATTGAAGTACATGAAGTTGGGTGTGGCCCAAATGCAATGACATTCTGATGCTTGATGGGCTCAGAAATCCAAGGATCATTACTTAGGCGATATTTCTAGAATATTTTCCATACCCTTATCGGTCCCAGAAAATTGCCAATGATTTCATTGAGTTTAAACAAATCATCCGAAAATAACTCTCGATATTGAGAAAACTAAGATAGAAACTCCGTTTTTCATTTGGCTACTTGTGAAGGAAGTATTTGTCTTTTGTTTTTGCCATGTAGCCATGATATAATCATTCATTTGGAGACATGAAACTGGAATTGTTGTAATAATTGATGTATCGTCCTCTGATATCGTGAATGATTTTTAAACTCAATGAAATTATTAGCCATCTTCTGGGACCGATTAGGGTATGGGAAATATTCTGATAATGTAGTCTAAGTGATGATCTTTGAATTTCTGAGCCTATCAAGCCTCGAAATGTCATTGTATGCCTGCTGGCCTAAGGAGTATTCAGGCCTAAGGAGTATTCATTGGCTGTTCGGTATTTGTTTCAACACCAATGATGAATACAAACAACTTTTCCTTCATTTATCATCTTATAACTGTGTTGATATGTGACATAAAGGTGGAATGTTCATTTGTCTTGATTTTCTTCTCCTCTAATTTTTATAAGTGATATTTATATATACAGTGCTTTCGAAATATACTGAATAAGTTCATCATCCACCAATTTATCAATTGCTTCGAAACCCCCTGCATCATCATCAATATTTATATAATATATAATTAATTAATATAATTATACACATTATAATATGGATTCTCCAGAGGGGTTAAGTCATCAGTTTCATTCAATATATACACACTTGTAAGGGAGTGAGGGTGTATTTATCGTTATCCATCGAGGCGCCACCTTCCACATTGGCTCCGCTATCCAGAAGCAATTTGGCGCAAGTCAGATGACCTTTCGCTGCGGCATACGTCAATGCAGTCCAATGCTGGTTCTCCCCATTCACCGCTGGAAATTCTGGACAGGTCGGGGAAGGCGTTTCTACGTCCACTGAAGCCCCAGCATCTATCAAAGCCTGAAAAAAAAATTATCAAGTTTTCCCATTGATATATTGCCATGTTGAAGAAAAGATAACTTACAAATCCTCCAAAGGAAGGATATTATGCTCGAAGTAATCTCCACAAATTTCGATAAAGTTGTTTCGGTCTTGGAAAATACAATCTTCAGCCTAATTGAAGGTTCTACAATACGAAAAGATTGATGTGGAAGTACATTATTTGGTCTTACTTGGAGTTGAAAAAAGTATGATATGCTACTAGCTAGTTAAACTGATCCTAATGACGGGTACTCAATGAATGAAGGGCCCCGTTCTCTGAGAGCACTCTCAGGGTACGGCAAGTCAACCAAATAATACTTTTTTCAATTTCAAGTAAGTAATAACCAAATAGTGTTCCTTCCATATCAACCTTTTTGTATAGTAGAACTCTTAATTAGACTGAAAAAGGTTTTTTCTGAGATCAGAACATGTGGGCATCGCCCTAGCTTCTCAGGTAAGGAACTAGCCATTCGATATTTGAAGTTAAGCAGTGTTGAGCGCGGTTAGTACTTGGATGGGTGACCATTCGAGAAAACGCCGCGTAAGCCAGTACATCTGTAGCGGAATAGCATATCATAGCTACAGCTACCCTATAAATGATCACAGGATATGGTACAGATATGCCGTCCTTCGGAGAGGACGTTAAGCCAGCGGTCCAAGGCCATGGATGTTGGACTCGTTAAATATCCCTACCTATGGTTGGAATACCAGAGGATTCGGCAAAATCTCCGGTTGGGGCTAGTGTGCTCACCGGCGTCGGTGATTAGCCTCAGTAGCAGAAAGAGCCCGACGTTAAATAAATAGGGAAGAAAAAGAAGAAGATCGGAACATGTCCCTAATTGTGTAACAACATCATTGAAATTTGTGGAGATTACTTCGAGCATACCTTCCTCCCGTTGAAATATTTCTCATCACTTTGAGCAAAATGGACTTCTACCAAAGATTACAAATTATGTATCCAATGACAGTTATATACTTGTCGCGAACTCAAATTGATATCTCAAAATGAATTTTTGAAGCAGCAGAGACATAGACTTCATTTCTTTATTAACAGACACAAAAGAAACATACCATGAGGGTTATGTGGTCATTGCTCATTGCTGATAACATGAGAGCTGTATGTCCTTGAGGATTGAGCGTATTCAACTTTGTCGAGTTAGGTAACAAACGAATGGCTTGATTTATGACCTCTGGTCGTCCACTCAACATCAATCTAAACGCCAATTCTATCTGCAACAAAAAAATCAAAAACCGGAAAAATCATCAGTGTATAATATCCTGATATTCGAATCTAGTAAGTGACAATAAAAAAAAACTTTCGTCGATAATTTATTGTCAGCATGGGAAATTGTGTTACCTCTATTTGTTTGGTAGCCTCCAACTGATCATCCTTATTCCCAGTATCCTTCCTAACTCTAACGGCTTCTTCCCCCAAACATCTAACGGGACAATCAACTCCGGGCAATAGTAATCTCGCTGCCTGCAAGATGTCGTCCTTATCAATCATGGCGGCAAATCTATGTTCGCTGTGTGCAGTTGCTACTCTCATCCATTCTCCCAACGGTGGCAGCACTACATACGCACGTTCGTAACATAGTTCCTAGATAAAGCAGAATTTGAAATCAGCACCATCAATCACGCAACATTTTCTCACATTTTCTGTTTCAACTGTAATTGCTTACCTGTACAACGTTGCCACCCTGGTCTTCGTGTTCTAACTGCGAACATCTCATGAAGTAGAACAGAGATCTGACTGCCTTGGAACAAACGGGTATCCTAGGGTTTATCCTCTTTATCAAGTCTTCTAACTCGCTTAAAGATCCTACGCAAGTCGTCATCAGGGCTAGCTCGAGAGACTCAGAACGTTGAACGGAGTCCCTAGATGATAGACTGGATACTGACGCCCATCTTGAAGAGGATAACACGCCTGAAACATAATAATAATAATAATAATAATACTTTTATTGATCTTAGAAACACAGAGTTTATAGACACGTCACGAAATTTGAGAGCAGTTACCTACAAGAGCAAAGCTCATAAAATTACGACAATAAAGTACACCAATTCAAAATATAAAATACAAATACTACATATACATGCTAAAATTCTTTGGCGTTACTCAAATGGAATACCTTATTTAAGAAAATAATAAATTCAATAAATTCAATGTTCAAGTTTGACACAAGTTTGACAATCATTAAAATCAAGAAAATATATGTAGAAAAAGTCATTCACGCCACTCCATAGTTTTTTCTGTTTCATTAATTCTCATTTTGTATCGCAAGGGTTGTACTTAATTTCTGTTGTGATACAATTTTGATAGGACTACAATGTGCTGGTGGTGAATTGAGGATGATCTGGTCACATGGGGCTATCAATAGGATTGAAAGAGAATATGACGGAGTTGTGAACAAACCAAAAGTTAACTCTCATTACTAGATATATTGATGAAGTGAGTTGAAGTATGAGAAATTTGAGTGTCTTGAAGTGGTGAAGCAGGGCTAATGGATACACATGGAGGTATCTGGAGACAGTCTACAGCAATGCATTGGTGAAAAATCTATCAAGTGTTGATAATTAGATGGCTAAATCCGTATTCATACCTGAGGCAATTCTTCCCGCATTTAAATGTGCGTAGGGCTGAAGTAATCCCCACAAGTCACCATTATTTGCTATGGCATGCTCCAAGGAGCTAGCTGTCAGCTTCACTTCCGAGTCATTCGGAAGACACTGGAGCAATATTTCTTCTAGAAGATTCTCGAAACCAGCACATAAATATACCGCCGCATACCTGAAAGCGATAACAACAGTAATTCGCTACTGGATTCTTCCATCGTGAAAACTATACTAATTGCTGGTATCACTGGAGTCTTCTAGAACCATTCATCTAGTCATAAAATGATATTTTTTGCGGTTACTTACTCGTGCACGAATTTTGCCAAGTTGACGTCAATCATCCATCGATGAAACCTTCCGATGTGCAGCTGGATCCCGGCTCTAGATGACTTGCTCTGCTTCAAACCGCTGTCTCCAGACATGGCTAGCATAGCGCTAGCCCTCAAACTAGCCTTCACACTGGAATCGGCCAGCCTCGGACACAAAACTACCCTAAAAGCGGCTGTTATGTCGTGTTTCGTGGATACTCCGACCGTGGACGAGAGTCTTTGGGCCTCCCTGCTTATCCTGACCAGAGCTCGCTGCAAGAGGTATGAGAGTCTAGGGATGATTTCCACGTTGACTCTGGTCATGTGGGGTTTGCATCGGCCTGTTTGTAGGACTCGAAGGATGCAGTGGTTGGTCCAGGGTAAGTGCTGGAGTTCGACTAGTCTGAAATGATGCACACAGATGCATTGATTCAAAGGCTATAGAAAGGTTTTTTGATGTTTTGTCAAGACCATGAGAGTCCGAATTATTTTTATCGTTGAAGAAGACACATAATCAATCAGATAGCGCTGGCCCTCAAACTAGCCTTCACACTGAAATCAGCTAGTCTAGGACACAAAACTATCCTAAAAGCGACTATTAGTCGTGTATCTTTGAACACTCGGACCGTGGACGAAAGTCTTTGGGCCTCCCTGCTTATCCCGACCAGAGCTCGCTTCAAGAGGTATCCACGTTGACTCTAGTCATGTGGGGTTTGCATCGGCCTGTTTGTAGGACTCGCAGAATGCAATGGTTGGTCCAGGGTAAGAGCTGTAGTTCTACTAGTCTGATATGATGCACACAGATGCATTGATTCAAAGGCTATAGAAAGGTTTTTTGCTTTTATGTTGAGATGATGAACTATATTGCCTCCATACTGGCAATATTGAACTGATATAAAGACAAATAGGACAATATTCAGCCAAGATTAGGTGCTGCGGAAACATCGTGGTGCCGACATTCATCTCTATTATAGGTACCTTTATTTTTCAATGCTATGAACATTTCTTAGGTAACTAGTGTGCGAATACTAAGGACATCATTTCAATCACATAACCCAAACTCACAGCACCTATGAAACGATGAGAACTTTCATCATCAATATTTTTTTGGGTTGGTACTTTGCAAAACTAGGAATCATCAGAATAAAAATAGATATATCAGATAATGTTCAGCAGATACTGAATGTATATATGTAGGATTATGTATAATCACTTGTTGATATCATTAGGAACGGATATAATTATTAGGATTTTGATAGTTTTCAATAAAGAAATTCCAGAACTTCAATCAGGTTTGTGTCAATTTATATTGAAATGAAAAATACTAGATTTGTGAAAGTGAACAAAAATGATGCAGTACATCAGAATCATGGAATAATTGAATTATTCTTTGAAACATGCCGTACGTACATTGCCTTACGGAAGGTCACAGGAATAGGTTTCTCTTCTTACCACTTATTGAAGTCTCTCTAAAGTGCCGAACAGGAATAGGTACCTATATGTAACACTTTTCGAGCGATAAATGTCACACGCGTGTACAAAGGAATTGTTTTTTGAAAAAATACACCTATCATCCGAATGTACAAAAGCTATAGAGGGGGTCGTGTGGGAATTCTGTTTTTAAATATCTTTCTCTGATAGGTATATTTTGTGAAGTAGAATGTAGCTTTATTGACTAAAAATTCTATTCAGCTCATCTTGATTGCTTACATAAGTTGCAAGTCTAGTAGATAGTTTATGAAACAATTGTATCGATATAGTATTGGTTCGGGCCTAGTATTGGCGGTAGCTATATAAGGTCATCATCTTCACGTTGCGATGTCATAAAAATTACGGAAAAACATTTCTAACTTTCAATCTAAGCCAGTAAGCCAGGAGTTTGGTATGTTTTTCCGTAGTTTTCATGTCATCGCAAGGTCAGACGATGACATTGGCTACCGCAAATCCACATTTTCTCTATTCGCAGATTTAAAGGTCATTATCTGACGTTTTAATTGCAATGACGTTAAAACTGAGGAAAAACATGTTCAACTTTCAATCTTTGCCAGAAGTTAGGAATGTTTGCCCCATTTTTAACGTCATCGCCAAGTCGGATAATGACCCTGAAAACCGCGGAAATACGTATGAAAATTGATCACTATTTCCCTTTGTCACGTCATTACGTGTACGGTTGGAGCGATTCCTACTAATTCTTTTTTTGTTGTGTTTGTTATCGTCAGGCGAAGGTTATTATGAAGCGAACAAATTTCAAAAAATCAAGATGGAGGATCCAATATGGCGGACTACTTCGGTAATTATGATCCGATTCTATTTAAAGATGGTATCTAAAGGTTTTTTGGTGTCGGATATTATGTTTCTGTCCTCAAAATTTCGTAATTATGATCCGACTCTCTTCAAAGTTGGTATCTGGGGGTTTTTGGGTTCGTAGATTATGATTCTTCCATCAAATTTTCGGAATTCAATATGGCAGATTCAATATGACGAACTAGCTCTGTAGTTATAATCCGATTCTATTTAAAATTTTTATCTGCTGATATTTTTGGGGTTGGATATTATGTTTCTGTCCTCAAAATTTTAAAATTCAAGATGGCCGATCCAATTATGTGAACAACTTTTGTAATTATGATCCGATTCTCTTCAATGTTGGTATCTAGGGGTTTTCGGGTTCGTAGATTATGATTCTTCCATAAAATTTTCGAAATTCAATATGACGGACTAGCTCTGTAGTTATAATCCGATTCTATTTAAAATTGTTATCTGCTGATTTTCGCGGTTAGAAACCATGAGTAGACAATTTCTTTAATTATGATTCGATTCTATTCAAAATTTGTATCTGATGGTTTTCGGGGTCGGAGATGATTCCTTCGTCATAATTGGGAAACTCAATGGCGAATTTGATATGTCGAACGAGCTACGTATAATAAATATTGTTTTGAAAAAATAATCACTCTTTTATAGAAAGCCTCATTAAAAATAGGTAGAGAATAAATAGTAGTTAATAAAACTAAAGAGATAGATTACCGAACTGAAAAGAAGTAGAAAATAAATAGTAGGTCGAAGAAAATAAGTAGAAATTTAATGAGAGTGTTGTTGAATATTCAACTGAAGAAATATTTCCTAGAACACTTTTGTGTCAAAAATATATTCTTGGTAGGTGTCGCTGCCTCTATAGTGAATATGAGACAAGATTTTGCAGCCAGGGCATTTTTTTTTCATTCAATATTCTCCCACATTCGACATTGGAATGTAGGCAAAATATGATCCTTACTTTTTTGTACCTACTTTTTCGGACTCTTTCAATGGGCTTATATCACAAAAAAAATTATTTCATAATTCGATAGAACTCACCCAAACTAGCTCACCACCGCAAACCGTTTCTTGCTGTGAACTCCCTACGTTTTATGAAAAATTATTGAAATCCCCGATTTTTCGGACCTCTGAAAACGAGGCGATGATGTGAAGTCAAAACCCTAATACTGAAACAAGACTATTCCAGACAGAGATGAATGATACTTGATTTCTGACAGAGTGAATTAGCGCGAGATCACAGTTGAAAGAATTGATATATCAGTTGCCTCAGTCTCCGTCGGGCGTTTGGAATTTTCTTTTAACTATGCCGAGATGAGCTAGGTTTCTACGTCATAATAGGGTCCGTTTTCAGAAGGTACTATTATTTATGTCCAAAATAAAACATTCCAGTTGATTTTTCGATCGAATTATGTCGTCAATCATTATTTATGTATAAAAGGATCATTATAAACATGGTTTGAGGCAAAAGTTCTACCAAGGTGTACACGCCCATTCAAAAAAATAACAATCAAGTGAGTACTTGTCATGTTATTCCAATCCGTTCTTGTAACAGTGAAGTTTGTTGTCTTCTGTACTTGTGATCCAAGCTTTTTCAACTAGAGTGTGTTTCATCTATCATTACTATTATCATTATTAGTATTGAATTGTAATAATCCTCGATTCCTATCACTTAATGAAATTTAAGAAAAATAATTTCCCTTATACTTAATAAATCAATTTTGAATTCCACCTTCTTGTCATTCCAAATTACTTACATTGATTATTTCAAATCCCAATAACTTGAACACAGTTGCTCGCAGCGACCTCTACCAAGAATATATTTTTTACACAAAAGCGTTCTAGAGATCTATTTTTCCACTAAAGAACGTTAAACAGGTACGCACAAAAAAGTTATGACATTTCAAAAATTCTCAAAAGACATGTAGGTGGCGCCACCCCCACGAAAGAGACAAACTAACATAAAATTTGATATTGTCATTGAAGAATACCCTTAGATACCAAATTTCATTCCAATATCACAATCATTTTGAAATTTATTAACAAAAAAACAAAAATTAGAATTCAAATGAGACACTATGTTTCTCAGAAACGGATAACTTTCGGACTTATGTTCAAACGAACTATTCTTCTTATTTTGACGTCAGCAACATGCTCCTGAGTTTTCTTCACGTAATTAAGAAACACCCTGTACAGGGTGGCCAACTAAGACCCCACAGGGTGTTCCGTAAGGTCACAGCACATCAAAGCTATATTTTTTTCATTGGAACACCCTATATTTCATTTCATTTTCGAATTCTTCCTGAAAATCTGATTTCAACGACCTATCATACTTAGGGTCTAGCAGTGAAAGTTACTGACATATAGGGTGTGCAAAATCGAGATTTTCCAAGTTCAGAATTTTTTTCTGTAGAAACTGTTCATTATTCGTCAAAACGGTTTACATGTCCCTATCTCAACTTTTCACCCACTATCAATTGGTGTTCAATTGAAATTGATACAAGGTGGTCAAAAAATCTTAATTTATAATTTGTTCCAATTAAATGTCAATTGAACACCAATTGACAGTGAGTGAAAAGTTGAGATAGGGACATGTAAACCGTTTTGACGAATAATGAACAGTTTCGACAGGAAAAAATCCTGAACTTGGAAAATCTCGATTTTGCACACCCTATATGTCAGTAACTTTCACTGCTAGACCCTAAGTATGATACGTCGTTGAAATCAGATTTTCAGGGAGAATTTAAAAATGGAATAAAATATAGGGTGTTCCGATGAAAAACACATAGCTTTGATGTGCTGTGACCTTACGGAACACCCTGTGTATTTCAAAGAAATTTTGAAATGTGAAGCTCGGTTATCACTTCAATTTGAATGCAAAACTTTTTTTTTTTATCTCTCAAGACAACAGAGGTATCGAACTCTGGATTCTTAGTTGGCCACCCTGTACAACTCACCTATTCTGGGAGCCTACCCATACAAGATAGTATGAAACAATTGTATAGGCAGTAGGTATTCAATGATACAACTCACCTATTGTGGGAGTCCACCCATACGAATTCATCCGCATTCGTAACACTGGTATTTATGGTGTCGAGCGAAGAATTCCTCACGAGTCTTCTAGGCGGAGGCTCCGAACTCTCGGACCCAGCGCTGATGCTGGAATAGGTGCTGGTAGAGGTGTGCGATCTAACCGTTAGCTGCTGCAAGGCTAGCTTGATGTCTTGGAGATCTCCATTTCCCGACCATGGAACATGTAACTATACCAACATGAGTACGTAAAAGAATATTATAGTGATGTGTTTTAGTATTCATCTTAGAAATGTGAATCGTTATACCACATGATGATCCTTCTCATGCCATATTTTATCTTTCACATTGTTTTAAATTTCTATTATTGTATGTTACGTACTTATGTTTTATCTTCTCTTTGTCTACAAGAGCTTTTTCTTCTGACAATAAAGAATATTCTGATTCTGATTCTAACACTATAGTCAACTTGAGAGTATTTTTGTTATATCCTGGTATAGTACTGAAAGGAATCGTATAATGTTGCTGCCAGTCTGAGACAGTTCAGAAGGAATTTTCACTGATATCTTTTTAGCTGAAGTGGTAGTGGTGGTTTCAATTTCGATGCCAAGCATTTTTTACATACCCAGAATTAATAAAAAAAGAATAATTTTTTTCTGTGGCGGGAAAAAAGTTTGGCATTTCATCTCTGTTGGCAGGTTATTGAATGTCACCTTTCATAAATTACTTCTTTCCCGTGGGAAAAAAGTGAGTACTTTTTTCCCGGATATATATCACATGTATATACACTGTTCATGTATTTTGTTGTGCTATAGTTCCGAAAAAAGAGTCATTAATACCGTCTCCGAGAAAGAACTGCAAGTCCTTTTATCTTCCATTCGACTTCGCGGTTACGTATATTACTAAACAACCACTAAATTCGCAATTTTTAGAAATCAAATCACAGAATTAGACTGACATAAGTGACATCAGATATTTGATTACTTCAAAAGAATGATGAAGATGCCTACAACGCGGGTGTCCCTACTGTTAAAAACTTGAAATTTCACGTCGATAATTTTCAGATTTCAAAATAATGTAATATCTTCCCAATATTAATGTGTATTATACACGGGAAAAATATTAGATTTTAGCTCACGGTCAACTACTTTTTTCCCTTGTATAATAAATAAATATTATTCACATATTTTCTTGAAAATTTCAAAATCCCTTGAAGGTTCCGTTCTAAAATTCGTAGGGCATTTTACTATCGTGAATGTGCATAAAAAATATCATATCAATTTAATCAATGTACAGGAAGATAGGTATTTCGGATTCTCTTTGATGAGGTTGTTGGGCATCTTGAATGTTTTTTTGCGAGAAAAAAGAATGAAATTTGGAAACGACCAGCTCCCAGATCATATTATGATGATGAGCTAGCGGAATGGTGAACATGGATATTGTGGTCAATAACACAAATGAGGTAGAAATTTGCAAAATATGGCAGGTAATAAAATGAATTTCAGATATCTCAAAAACAAAAAAGAAGTATGAAAAAAACTTCGTATGACATGATTTTCATGCCCATTCATGATAGTAAATAGTATTATTCTATTCGATTTGAGAGATAATGTCAATTCACAATTTCAGAGGATTTTGATTTTCATAGTCTCTTTTTGAATATTCAACAGATATAATTCAATGTTCGACGCGGCAAATAACCAGGAAGGAAGTTGTTTTCTGTTGAATATTCAGAATTATATTATGTGCATATCTTTATATGGAGGAGAATGCAAATTCTCTACTTTAGAAGATTCTGTTTTCAAATTTCATCGTGTGTGTTCGATAGATATAATTCAATGTTCGTCGTGGCATTCAGCCAGGAAAGTAGTTGTTTTCTGTTGAATAAACCGAGATATAATTAATATTTTCATCACATGGAAAATGCGAATTCTCAATGTATTTCTTAACAAATATATCCATTCTTTTGTGTTCATAAATATATCTGAGAATATTTCTTAGATTTACTGACAGTACTGACCAGTTGAATTCGGAATATATCCTTTGTCTATTTTCTGACAATAGTTCCGTTTTATTTCTTCCATTCTGGTAGCGGTGGTGGGAACAGAATGACGTTTTAAAATAAAACGCGAATCTTCATGACCTTGCATGAAAGAATTCACATAAGAGGTTTCATTTATACAGAGTGGGCCTTTGAAAACGAAACAGAGGCTCTGTAGGTCGCCAAAACCGGATTATAAAAAAAAAACTGAAACACGTCAACTACATTTTCGAGGGGGACATCGTTCTACAATATTTTCAGCCCTGCGGCGTTGCCGCTGCTAACGAAAAGAAGCAACAACTTTGTTATTTCAAATGGAACACCTTGTATTTTATTGCATTTTTAGATTCTCCCCGAAGAGCTGATTTCATCAATGCATCACACTTGGGGTCTAGCTGTAATGGTTTCAGGGATATAAAGTGTTCAAAATCGAGATTTTTCAACTTTAACATTTTTTTGTGTCGAAACTATTCATTATTGGTCAAAACGACTCCCATGTCCCTATCTCAACTTGTGATTCACTATCTACTAACATTTAATTGGAACAGATACAGGGTGATCAGAATTTTGAATCTTGAACCACCCTGTATATTTGTTTCGAATAAATGTCAGTAGATAGTAAATCACAAGTTGAGATAGAGACATGAGAGCCGTTTTGACCAATAATAAATGGTTTCGACACAAAAAAATGTTTAAGTTGAAAAATCTCGATTTTGAACACTTTATATCCCTGAAACCATTACAGCTAGACCCCAAGTGTGATACATTGATGAAATCAGCTCTTCGGGGAGAATCTAAAAATGCAATAAAATACAAGGTGTTCCATTTGAAATAACAAAGTTGTTGCTTCTTTTCTTTAGAAGCGGCAACGCCGCAGGGCTGAAAATATTTTAGAAAGATGTCCCCCTCGAAAATGTAGTTGACCTGTTTCAGTTTTTTTTGATAATCCGGTTTTGGCGACCTACAGAGCCTCTGTTTCGTTTTCAAAGGCCCACTCATATTGGGGTTCCGAATAAGTAACTTCAAAATCATGATACTAGAGTTGAGAATCTAGAATATCAATCAAACAATAGTTGGACCAGCGATTGTGGTGATTGGAGAAACTTCTCTGAGATCGAGAGGAATAATTTTATCTGGGAATGAACATATGAAACATGTCTTACTTGAAAGAATCATAAACTTGTGAACCTTTCGTATTTCGTCAACCTTATTTAATCTTTTTACAATTGTCAACAGTCATTCCAAGTCATTCCAAGTCATTCCAAGTCATTCCAAGTCATTCCAAGTCATTTCTTGTAATGAGACGGAATGAGAAGTAGCAACCGGAATCGGAAAAGTTGCAAATAAAACGACACATTGAAAGATTCTGGGGGCGGAATCGGAGAAATAAAACGCAACAAAATTTCATATCGACACTCACCCCAGCAGGAGTTGCTCTCTGTCTCTGCCGGCTATTGGGCGGACTAGATTTGCTATTTTGGGTTTTTGGCAGCACTCCGGCCGACATCTTGTTGGGATCCGTGCTGGAGATGGCCCTAGGCGAGCTGTGGCCAGTGTCTGACATGCTCGCGTGGCCAGAAGACAGGGAATCGTCGGATGAGTTGTGACCACATTGTGGTGGTCTGACGTCACGCTGAGGACAGAAGAAGAGTATAATATTTTACATGTTTCATTTATCTTAGTCTGATGTGAGTTGTCTTAAGAACCAATTGGGACTATTTCTTTCCCCTCACCCCAACTGAGCTTGCTATTCATCTGGTGATGTAGTGAGAAAAAGGTGAGACTGGATTAATTCTAGTAATTCTGTGGTTCTGTGCTGAAAATTGTGATGTTATATTTTGACATGCTTTCAGCTTTGAAGTTTCAGTCCACAGGCTGAATCCTTTGAATACTCACTACAATAATATTTCTATGCGCCTCATTAATTTCCTCAGCCATTTTACATTATGGTTGAATTATGTTGGGTTATGTTTTCTTCCCTTGCCCTTCCTGACAGATGAAAACCTATTCTCTTTATTCAATCGACAACTCAGATCCGTCTCACATCCTTTTAACTCAATTGATCTCAGTAGTGAGAATGTAACAAGGTAAAAAGAATATTGCTATTGTGATGGTATTCCCCTGAGAGGGGTTGGAACATCAGAAAGTAGGCAAGACTATACAATGTATACCTATTGTAGCTACGCGAAGAAAAACTTCAAGGAAGAGAGAAGAGAGGTAATGTTCTAAGAACATTTGGAAGGCTATAGAAGGCAATGGAATGATCGAGAAGTCAGGGCACGCTAAGTACAAAAGAGCGGGTTTATACTGCAATTAAAATAAAATAAGAAATACAATAAAACAATTTAATAAAGTTGAACATACGTGCTGCCATAAAGACGTTTATACAAGAACTAAGGTTGAATAAGAAATAAGGAATAGAATAAAAGTTGGTCAACTTAATCTTTTATTTTATTTCATTTCATTTTATCGGGACAGTGGAAATGCGCATGTGCCTGAAATGACATTTGAAATTAACACAAATGTCACAAATGGCCTTTAACCTCAAAATGTTTTCAAATCCATAGTGTTTTAAACTTTTTTCGGTCTTCCTGCTGTCAAAAATGATAAATGATAATATATTAATAATGATTGGAATTTTTCTAATATTGTTGTCCACGACAGTCGTTGTCGTGAATAGGAATAGGTTATTTCGGAGCAAAACGAAAAGAATAGTGTTTATGAAAATTTGTTGAGCTTTGTACACAAAACTATTTACGTTTTTGTCATCTATCATTAGTCTTTACAACTCGTGATCCCATTGGTAGATTCTTGATTACTATTTTATTTCATTCCTCTGTATAAACTACTCCCATTATTATTAGGCGGCTCGGTGGTCGAGAGCGTGAATGCGCTGAGTTCGTATGGGGACTCCCACCGAGACATAGGTTCGAATCCTAGTTAGGCCATGGATGTTTGTGTTTGTATACTTACCTAACCCCGTACAAGTTTCGACTCATGGGGCGTTTGGTCCCAGTGCTGGGACCAACGAGGTGATGTAATGCAACAAAAAAAAAATCCCAGGAAGGAAGGAATGCTCGAAGTCATCTCCACAAATTTTAAGGATGTTGTTACATAATTATAAGGGACATGTTTCAGTCTTATAAAAGGCCATCTTCAGCCTAATTGAAAGTTCTACAATACAAAAATTGTGGTTGAAAAATTGTTTGATGCTACTGTTTCTTGAATTGTTGTCGATGCTCATTATTTCTTATTCATTACATTAATTTATCTTTTTTCTTATTTCATTTCGATTGCTGTATAAACCCGCTCTTATTTATAGGAAGGATCAACTCGCAGAGTCAGTGTCAAAGAGACAGTTGTATACCGCGTGTTTGAATCCGTTCGATGTTACGTCGACGAATCGGAGTAGCCTGTTTTTCAGTTCCGAAAAAAATACAGAGAATCGAAATTCAACTTCACGAGACAGATATATCTCAACTCGAAAACTTTGTATCTGAAAGAAAACGGCCAAAAGAGGTCGAAGCTGTTCAAGGAGCGAAGCCTATAAGTGGCATCGTTTCCTCAACTTGAGGTATTTCGTATTTCCCAGGATCAAGTGCTGGCTTTGCCTACATGGTTTTCAATGCAAAATTATCCTTTGAAATTGTCCCTTCTCCAGTAACTTACTTTGAGTTCATCCGCACTGATGTGATGATGCTGATTGAGAGACACCTCTCTAACATGTTGCTCCGAATGGCATCCACGCTGTCCACGCAACATCCTGGAACCTCGTACGTTACCTGAAGTGAAACATACCGTTGCATCCACATTCCAAAACCTCCACATCACGTTGCACGTAGTTCCCACATTTCGATACGCCCACATTTTGTTTGGCCCACATTTCGATACACCCACAGTCTCCGAACATACCTGAAGCATGCACTGTTGCACGTTTTCAGAAAAAATCTGTGTCTAGTAAGAAGCAGTGGTGCACGCGAGAGTCTCGTTTTCGAGAGTCTCGTCTCGTTTTCGAGACAATACTCGAGACGAGACTCGGACAAGACGAGACGAGACTTTCATTGGTCTCGTCTCGAGTCTCGTGCAAGACTTCTCGTGTCTCGTACGAGAGTCTCGCGGGTAAATATTTATGCGTGCCGACTGCAGACTTGAGAATTTCATTCATAATACAACATATTTAGAAAGAATTCAGACCATTCAGCACAGATAGACGAAACATTTCATTCATAAATACATTAAAAACACAATCCATGATTGTTGTAAAACGACGTGATGCGTGAAACGAAAACGGACTATCCTCTCTCTTACGGCGGAATAATGTTGGCTTCAAGTTTTTGTTTTGTTTATTTGTTCAGAATATACGTGTTACTTTTCATTTTATTTTTATAACTTTCGAATATACAGGGTGTAAATTTGAAAACTTTCAATGCGAATATCTCGCGAAAGATGAAAGTTAGAAAAACGCCGTTTGGCAAAAATGCTGAAGAGTTAAGGGGAACTAGAACCACCATATTTCGGTCAAGGGATGAGTCACCTCGTCGGCGCGACACACCCCAACTTTGAAATGTCAAATGGCACTACCTTTTTTGTGATGCCTCAAATGAACAGTCTCAGTCAGTAGTATTCACCTGTACAAGACTTTTTTTCCACCTACTACAGGGTGTACGAAAAATATAAAGTCGAATAAAATAAAATGAATTGTGTTAAAAGGATATTTTATTCGATCAGATGTTCAAAATGCATTCCATTCTGTTGTAAGCAATAGTATAATCGATGTTCAAATGCCATTCTAACATTTTGGAACACATCTCTTGGAATATATCGGCATTCTGCATTTTACTTTATTCGAGTTTATGTTTTCCGTTCACCCTGTAGTGGGTGGAAAATAATTCTTGTACAGGTGAATACTACTGACTGAGACCGTTCATTTGAGGTATCACAAAAGAGGTAGTGCCATTTGACATTTCAAAGATGGAGTGTGTCGCGCCGACAGGGTGACTCATCCCTTTACTGAAGTATGGTGGTTCTAGTTCCCCCTAACTCTGTGGCATTTGTGCCAAACGGCGTTTTCCTAACTGTTTTATTTAGCGAGATATTCGCATTGAAAGTTCTCAAATTTAGACCCTCGATTTAATGTTTTTCGTACACCCTGTAGTGGGTGGAAAAAAAGTCTTGTACAGGTGAATACTACTGACTGAGACCGTTCATTTGAGGTATCACAAAAGAGGTAGTGCCATTTGACATTTCAAAGTTGGGGTGTGTTGCGCTGACAGGGTGACTCATCCCTTCACTGAAATATGGTGGTTCTAGTTCCCCTCAACTCTTTAGCATTTTTGCTAAGCGGCGTTTTTCTAACTTTTTTATTTCGCGAGATATTCGCATTGAAAGTTTTCAAATTTACACCCTGTATAATGCTGGTTTTTTTCTTGTTGAGATGATTGCATGATGTAAGTATGTACCTATTAGGTACTTACTTTTCAATAAATAATGTTATTTTTGTTGTAATTTTCTCTTCCTACTTCTACCATACCTAAGAAGTAGGTGAAGGTAAATATCGCGTACTAGACTGGAACAAGATTATGCATGACGAAATTGCGATACATTTGCGAGACTATCTCGTACGAGACGCGAGACAAGACGAGACTCGGGGCTGCGTGCGAGACGAGACTCAAGACAAGACTTCATAATTCATCGGCGATACGAGACGAGACTTTATGAAAGTCTCGTCTCGTTGGTCTCGTGCGAATCACCAGTAAGAAGATTCATTTAGGCTGAGTTAGGTTAGATTGCTCAGCTAAAGTAGTCTCTTTTCTTTTTCTAATAGGATATTCTCCTCTCTTGTAATACGTCGTCGGAAATCATAGAGCCAAAGAGGAAAATGGTACATTTGGCAACAGTGCGTCCTCCGGGTATGTTTGGAGACTTTGGGCTCATCGAAATATGGGCCTAATGAAATGTGGGCCTGATGAAATGTGGGCTTATCGAAATGTGCACTCACCCGGAGCAACCTTGTTCGGCCCCACATCCCTTTCCGGGATCATACTGGAGCTCGAATAAGGGCACTTGTAGTCGTGATGAGTGTGGTTCTTCTTGTCGAGATGGCCGCTGAAAGTGGACGTTTTCACGTTGTTGGCCACGTAGAGGTGCTGGAAATACTCCACTTTGCGCTTGGGCGAAACCATGCGCTCGGAGCAGTTGACTTTGAACGGTTCAGCTGATTGGGTTTCTTTTGAGTTGTTGGTGTTCTTGGGTGCCTCATGGTAGGTGATGTCGGTTCGTGAGTTGTCTGATATCCTTAGAGAGAAAAATTGGAAACATGTTCATTTTCTTTTTTTGGATGTATGATAAATTGACATTCATCAGATGTAATTCAATATTCGTCGTGGCATATAGCCAGGAAACTAGTTGTTTTCTGTTGAATAAACCGAAAAAGAATTGATATTTTCATCACATGGAGCATGCGAATTCTCAATGTATTTCTTTATACAGGGTTATGATAAAGTAATGCACAAAATTCATAATACGTACAACGATCACTTCTGAAAAAAATGCAAGAACACGTCAAACTGCTCTTTTCATTCCGCGTCTTTTGACATAAGTTACAAAAATAACACGTCAAATTTTTTTAATGGGGAGCTAAGATTTTTATTACATTATGTGCAACTATTTTTCCCTTGTGTGAAAACACAAGCTCTATCACATAATGTAATAAAAATCTTAGCTTCCCATTAAAAAAATTTGCTGATGACGTCATAACTTTGACAACTTTGACGTGTTATTTTTGTAACTTATGTCAAAAGATGCGGAATAAAAAAAAACAGTTTGACGTGTTTTTGCATTTTTTTCAAAAGTGATCGTTGTACATTTTATGAATTTTGTGCATTACCTACTTTATCATAACCCTGTATATATATATCCATTTCTTGTGTTCATAAATATATCTGAGAATGTTCCTTTTCAATAATACAGGTTCATTTTCATTGGAACCCTATTTTCAATGTGACCATTCGCACTGGTTTTACTAGTACTGGGTAGCTGGAATTAGAGCCTCATCATTAGGATCTCGTGAACCGTAAAAGATACAGGGTCGGTTGAATTATAAAAAAAAAATAAAAAAATAAGAATCGTTCATTGTTCAAAACAGGAAAACACCCACTTAAGGTGGATTCATGCAAACAAAATTTAAAACTTAAATGAATTTTAAACTTAAACCAATAATATAAAACTATGAAATGTAAATGTAATGTAGGTGCTCATGCAAGTAACTAAAAAATTTAAACTAAAATTGAAACTAAGAAAGATGGCCAACATTCAACTAAGAAATTAATTTCTTCCATAATTCACAACTACGCATGCGCCAAATAATAACTAGCCGCGCTGGAAAAAGAATAAACAGCTGATGAAAGGTTATTGCATGAACACCCATATATTTTTAATTTAAAATTCGTTTAAATCTAAAATTCATTATAATTTAGTTGATGTTGCATGAATCCAGCTTTAGAGGACAGAAACAAAAAACAAATGGCGATTTCATTTAAGGTGCCAAGAAGTAAATAGAGCTACAGTATACCAGGTGATACAGGAGACATGTAAAAGACTGTAGATTTTTCATTTGGAGAGATAAAAATTTGAAATTCACAAGGGTTAGATTATCGATGATGGCGCTTTCCTTGAAACCAATGACCATTTTCTCAACCACCTGTTTGATTGGAAGTAGACCCAAATTTTTTTTTTTACAAATGGCAACCTGTATATTTCTGTAGTCTATCTTATGCGCCTTGAAATTCTCTATTCAACAATGGATCACAATTTGAAATTCGTTCATTAATTGGCTGTTAAATTGCATTTTATTGAAATACATGGAGTTGGCTGTTACCCGAATACAATGACATTTTGATGCTTGATAGGCTTAGAAATCCAAAGATCATCACTTATACGATATAATCAGAATATTTTCCATACCTCAATCGGTCCCAGAAGATTGCCAATAATTTTATTAAGTTTAAAAAAATCATCCGAAAATAACTCACGATATTAGGACGATACATCAATTATTACAACAATTTCAGTTTCATGTATACAAATCGATGATCATATTATGGCTACATGGCAAAAATGAAAGAAAAATAGTTCCTTCACAAGTAGCCAAATGACAAAAACTGAGTTTCTATCTTAGTTTTCTCAATATGATGAATTCATTTCAATTCAACATTTTCATGATAATTCTACTACTTCCGATCATGTTATTTGGTATGGTATTTCATGGCGAAATTTTAATCAGGAGCGTGGTAAATTGTTCTCCTGCATAATAAAACTAGTGCGGTTTTCCTTAATAGGGTACCGAATTTTTCCAAATATTCTGGTTATATGAAAAATACCCCCCCCCTTTTTAACTTTTCATGTTTGAAGAAAACAAATTCAACATACGCCAACCGTATATTAGAAGAAAACCATAATTTTGATGATAATTTCGAAATTCTGCACGTAGAAAATAAAGGACTAAAACTCAATCATTTTGAATCATTAGAAATCAACAAACTCAAAAATTTTGACATTTTACTTAATGATCAATTAGACCTCAAGAGTTCACCACTGTTGAATTTGTTTTCTTAGTAAGTAATAATTTGCTATCAACTCTTTCAAGTTAATCCGGTATAGCGTAAATTAATGTAGATATTGTGCCTAATTTCCGAAAATGGAGGTTTATCGTACCTGTCCACAGGTAACTAATCCTTCAGGTTGGGAGAGTGAGATATATAAAAGTTAAACAAGCCAACGTTAGTTTAGTTCATTGTACCAGTATATCACCTGACGAGGCTACTGTGTTAGCGAAACATGTCGTGTGTTTGAGAATTTTGTGAAAATCTTATCGTTTGTGAAGTTTTTACATAAGTCGCTTATTTGGAATGAACATAATTATTATATTCTATTCATTTCGCGAAATTGTGTTTAATTTAACAAAAAAAATGACCAAAATTATTTTGTTGGTGCAACAAAACTTCTTTTTCCCTGTGCCCACACGTTTTACTATCGGAGTTTTATTATCAAAATACCTTTTACCAGCCAAATACTGTCTTATCCAATCAGCTTCCATCCCAAGCGGAAAGTCATCTAAATCATCAGAGTTACTCTCAAAATCACACAAATAAACATCGTTAATTATTTGACACGCATAACCATAACTATTTTTGAACACCACAACTATCGTATTTTCATGTTCAACAGAATCCAAACTCAGAAATTCGTCGATTTCCTCACTATCAACGGTAACAGATTTGTGTTTCATTTCCTTCACTTCATCTCTTGCCACAATTCCGTTGTCCACATCTTTCCAGTTGCCTGGAAAATGTATTTCTGGTTTGCCTTCGACAAGGTTCACCTCCATTCCGAAGTAGGTGTACTTCTTGGAGTTTCCCATACCGGAAAATTTGTCCGCCAAGATGAAATTTTCTTGCTCGAATTTGGTCGCGTCGAACTGAGCTTCACAGCCAATCAGCTCCAGGCACAAGATGCAAGTACAGTGGTCACCGCAAGTCATGTCGATGTGTTCGGTTCTACAGAAGATTCATTACTGAAGAAAACGAAAGCAGATTTTGCGAACGATATCAAATGATAACTTGGCAAGTTCATTGAATTAGCTGGAAAGTTCCCACATATTGTTATTATAATACGCTTTCGTTCCTGAGCCTTATTGTTATGTCTTAGGATGGAATCAAACATCAAGTTCGGTAGATGAAACGGATCTTGATGTGAAAGTAGTCATTTGTTACTGATATTCTGACGATAATGAATTTTGAATTATTTATTTCACATTGGTAGGTAGTTTTTCAACTTGCAGTAAAACTTCAAAATTGTTATGATGTTGATATCATAATTATTCCCAATCTACCTGGCATATCTTTAGTTCCTCAGCTATACAGGGTGTGCCAATTTAGACAACCTGATTTGTGTCAGCTTATCTATCACAGTTTTCGAGATGTATGCTCATATTTCTGAAAATAATCACCTTTCTAGTAGTATAGTTCAGAAAAACATTGATATCACGCAAATCTCTCAAAATTAGAGAGCCAAATTTGTGGAATAGTTAGCTCAGAGTTCGATCTACCTATATATAAATAGAGGAGAGGATTAGACGACTGTCTAAGTTAAGGATGAAACTGTCGATTTCCTTCGGGTATGCAGTCAAAGAAAAAAACAAAGTGTACTCTTGTTTCCTCGCTTGTTTCTGTTCAAGCTTTCGAGTCTTTATTATATCTGATGAAGAGCCAATAAAGACTCGAAAGCTTGAACAGAAACAAGAGTACACTTTGTTTTTTTCTTTGACTGCATACCCGAAGGAAATCGACAGTTTCATATATATAAATATATATATACAGGGTCTGCCAATTCAGACAACCTGATTTGTGTCAGATTATCTATCACAGTTTTCGAGATGTATGCTCATATTTCTGAAAATAATCACCTTTCTAGTAGTCAAAGTAGCTCAAAGTCCAATCTACCTGGCATATTCTTAGTTCTTCAGCTATACAGGGTGTGAAAATTTAGACAACCTGATTTGTGTCAGCTTATCTATCACAGTTTTCGAGATATATGTCGATATTTTTGAAAATATTCACCTTTCTAGCAGTATAGTTCAGAAAAACATTCATATCACGCAAATATTTCAGAATTAGAGTACCAAATTTTTGGAACAGTTAGCCGAAAGTCCAGAGTATAACTCCTGATATTCCATCATTGACTCATGGAAAACTTGAATAGTATACACTGGTTCAATGAAAAGTTGAGTTAATGTGCAACGTAAATCTGTAACAATAGGACAGGGAACCGAATAGACTTATTATTATCATCTTAATTCATTCAACATCAGTCTGTTGAATTCATGACATGAAACCCAGAGAAATGTCCCTTTCACTTTATCGTGATGAGTATTATAATACACAATGGATGAAAAATGTTGTTAATTTTATCATTCACACGGCTTTTGTGTTTATTAAAAACTGAAAGTGCAACAATTTGTTGTAATTACAGCGGAGTCGATTCAAACTTCATGTTTCATGACTATTTGACTGAGTCCTAGGATTCACAAAATAATATGCATTTGTTTCGATCATGGCTCGAATTATTATAATAATATATTTATTTCTTATTGTTCTTCCATAATTAAATGATGGATATAATACTCAAATAGAAAATCAAGACACCTATATCGAACGACCCCTCTTTTCAATTGAAATTAGGTAGGTATACAATTTTTTTTGTATTTACAGTATACCTTGTGTTTGTGGAAAGTTTTATACAGGTGAAACCAAGAGACCTCTTTCAGGACGAAGGAACATATAAGTACAATATAAACATAGCTGAGCATATCCCTACTGAAGACGGACAACATATGGCAGAGTGTAATAATATTATAATCATTGGAAAAGAAGATAACAACCAGAAGAGAGAAATCAAGGAATCTGTTTGCATTCTTCTGAACGGAGACAATAGCATTGCTTCTTGTTCAGTTGATATAGACAGCACATGGTATTCACTACTAAAATCTGAACATGAAAATGGTAAATTCAAGATCAATTAATGAAAACATCCTGTGACTCGTTTGATTGCCAACGTCACCAATTGTCAATGAAAACTGAAAAGTTTCAAGACAAAATGATACGACTTTACTATTAAAATAATCATTTCTTATGTAGAAAACGGAAGCAGAATCGGTCCCGAAACGTCCAAAGATAAGTGAACATTTGATATCTTTTCTATATAACTTAATTTCTCTTCTCCAAACTTTTTTCAATACAAATTGTCACTGACAAGCTGGTGAATTTTTTGTTTAGGCTCTCTGGTAGGAAGATTATTTAAGCGCAGTGACATTTTGGGGCAAATCATCTGATTTGTCCTTACTACTCGTATATTGAAATAATATCCATATTTTCATTTTATAGAAACTAGGAGAGAAGATCCCAAAAAATTTGGAATAATGAATGTACCACCTCCTCGATCAACCTACAGACTGTTTTTTTTGTTTGTGTCATTTCTTGTGGTGCTGTTTTTAGGTCTGTTTTTGAGTTTTGAATCTGTTTTTGTGTAACACCGCAGAAAGTATTAGGAATCCAATGTGATTGTTTTTGATAATAAAGTACCTACTTCCGGTTTAACAGGAATGAATGGGAAAGCCTGTATTTTTCGGCATATTTTGAAAGAGCTCCATATTTAGAATGCGTGCAAACTGGGTTTAGTGGGTTTGATACAGGTTGCTGAAAGTTAGTATACAGTGTTTCCCGCTTTTCATGAATATACCCTGATATCTCAACTATTAATGATGCGATTTTGTTGACATTATGGTGGTGATTGTATGTTAGAGTTAGAACAATGGAGTATTTAGCAGAGTGGATAGTTTCATTTACCATTGGCGTGTGCGATGTTGAGGGTTACAAAAAAGGCCTCCATTCGGGAAAAGGATATTAGGGCTTATTTGAAACACATTTTTTATCAGATTCAGACTCAGCATACGAAAGAACCCCCAATTTATTTATAAATTTATGAATCTCAAGAAGAATTCTAAATCCCGCTTTTCATGAGTACGCCCTTACATCTCATCAGTTCTTATTGATGCGATTTTCTCGAAATCGTGATGGTGATTGTATATTATTTTTATAACATACAATCACCATCAAAATTTTAAGGAAATTGCATAACTAATAACTGAGATTCTAGGGTGTAGTCATTAGAAGCGGGATTTTGAAATATTTTTTTCAGCTCTTGGGATCTTGAAAATATGAATTGGGGGGCTTTCGAGGATGCTAAGTCTGAATCTAATAGAGAAATCTATCTAAAATGAGCCCCAATATCCTTTTCCCAAATAAAATCCTTTCTTCTGCAACCGACACAAAAGTCGTCCATTTTGAAACCAAAATTAGCTCTTAATTTGACGTTTCTATTACTGACACAAAAATAGGTATGTTGCTAGGCAACATATTCAGTTCCTAGGAGCTAAAGTTGAATTTTAGTTCCTAGGAACTAAAAAGGATGTACTGGACGTCATCAAGAATAAAGAACATTGTAACGGTTGGTTATTTGGGTTGAGACGCATACCTGATTTGTTTCCGATTTCAGCAGATTTGGCATTTCATACCCATGCTGGAGATATACACCTTATTATAGTTTAGTATTAGAATTATAAACATCTCAGTTAAGTATTTTTGTTTTGGTCAGGAAAGCCTTCAAGATTCAAATACCTGCTTGATCTGTATTTCATTCGTTATTCTCGGGATGGATAACTTGTTTTTGAATAATCACGACAAGCAATAGTTTTTTTTTCTTAAACAACGATATTTGTTTAGCTGCATTTGATTATCAAGTCAAACATAGTGTAGTATGGAGAGGAATAAATAATCACTATTATCATGGTTGATATGCTCACTAACCTAACATTTTCCATGTCTTGTTCCTATAGCTGGCACTGGCGCGGTATTTGCCATTAGAGCACCTGGTCCATACACAAATATGTCACTCTGTGGTTGTATTTATATTGAAACTACAATTCGAACATTCTAGAAAATCTAACTTGCTGTTAATGCAGGTAGAATATTCTCACCACATGGATTATTTGTCAATATTTGTTGCATTGCATACATAAGGCACGGCATTGGTGGTTACTTCACATGTTTATTTGAGTTAATTGTTTCGGTTGCAGAAAAAATAGCATGTTTCATTCGGATCAAAAGTGACTTTGATCGACTCGCAAATTTTGCTTTCGCTCGGCTTCGCTAAACGCTCCGCCTCGCAAATGCAAAATTTGCTTGTCAAACAAAGTGTCACTTTTGATCCTAATAAAACAATCTACTATTTTGTACTCCTCAACATCCCACCCCAATTGTGGAAGAAACTGTTTACTCTGCTAAATAGTTCATTAATTGTTTTAACATACAATCACCACCAAAATTTCAAGAACATTGCATCATTAATAACAGATTTCAGGGTGTATTCATGAAAATTAAAATGGTGACCTTCAATTTATCTCACTTAATGGTTCGATTGGTCTCCACATTTTGAGTTCAGATAACCAAATTCATGTCAACCTATCTATAACAGATTTTCAAATCTGTCGATTTTCCTGTTAATCGGTATTATTATTAAAAGTTTTCCCCACCTGATGCAATCTTTATGGAAGACACTGTATATTCTCTATTAGTACCTACCTTCTAGGCTTCGGCCTCAATATCTCATGATCAGCATCGGTGATACACAGGGGGTTGAGCGGCCCCGACAAATGGTCTACCCCCGTCCAATGCTCCGATCGACTACCCTTAACAGTAGCCACTTCCCACTCGGGTCCTTCGGGGGTCGAACTGTCCTTCTGACGCGCCATTCCCTCAGAGGCACAGCGAGGTCACTGAGAGGTATCTGAGAGGGCACTGAGAGGTCACTGAGCTATCACTGAGATGTCACTGAGAGGTCACCTCGGGGGCAGGGTTTGGCAGGGATCATGGCACTTACTGAGAAGTAACTGACATGTTTCTGAGAGGTCACTGAGGGGATACTGGGAGGTCTCTGAGAGGTCACTGAGAGGTCATCTCGGGGTTTGTGTGGCAGGATTCATGGTACTCACTGGGAGGTCTCTGAGAGGTCACTGAAAGGTCACTTTGAGGTCATTTCGGAGATTGTTTGGAATCAGGGCAATCACTCGCAATTGTCGCTGCTACATTTTGCTGGGTGTCTTGGTAGGGCTTTCGGTACTGCGTCAAGACAGATCCATCACGGGAACGTTGGCTCGGTCGTAAGAACGCTATTTGGCCGCAGGTCGTACCTGTAGACAGGGCCGGATTTTGCTGCTTCGGAATTTTTTCGTCACCGTTGAACTCCGCGTGTCATGATATACAGGGTGTAGCAAAAGCATGTTGAAATATTTGAATGACGTATTCCTGAGATAATTTTAGGGAAATAAGTCAATATCATCAACTTGTGTCCGGGAATGTTTTTTCGAATAAACGAGGTGTTGAAATATTTGCTCGAACGGGAACATAATGACATCGCTGCTATTTTACACTACTTCAGTGATCATCCTGTACAGGGTGATTGTTATATCTTACTCAATAGCTATCTCAGGTAATATGATAATGATGTTCATCGAGGGATACACAAAATATATATATGCGATGAAATGACAGATAAACAGTTCAATAAAAGTCAATTGATACAAAGGAGAGGGTTGAATTAATAAAATATTTTTTCTACTTCCGTATGTGAATTACTAACTTCACTCATCGATAAAAATGTGTAAAGCTTCATTTCACGAATCGGTGTGTGAAGTGCCATGCTTTTCTTATGGGATTTATTTCACGCACCGGTGCCATAAGAGTCAATACAAATTCACACACTGGTCGCTGGTCTAGGTAGCACTAATTTTGTAGAGATAGACAAAGTGAATGTACATTTTGACAATTTACAAAATTGCAATATAACTGTTCATAATAATTATTATTGTAATAAAGAAAATTAGTCGAATTTTCCTTTAATTCAATCTCTAGGTAAAAGGTCGTAGAAAAAGTATAGTGTGCACCACGTCCGTGAAGACTTCACGCACTAGATACACAATATAATATATTTAGTTCACTCTTGATATTTATTTAGTTGACTCTTGGTTTTTGTGACAAACTCAAAAGATCTTTTTCTGTTGGGTAGATCATTATAAATATTTATTCCACAAGAAAATAGGTAATGGATTTTTTCCAAAGTGGGTTTTTATTTTAACAGTTTTCAAATGTTCACTTTGTCTAGTGTGATGCTCATGGGTATCGGAATTGATATTGAAAGTAAAATTCGAATGTTCCTTTTAAATATCAAGTATTTTTCATGAGCATTCAAAATTCAGTACAAGAAAATAGAAAGAAGCATCGTAAACCCAAAAATTTCACATTAACTGATATTTTTTTAATGGAACTGTATATAGAACGCCAGAAATTGCAGCATTGTCATCTGATGTTTTACATCTGTCTAAGGTTTATACGAAAAAAATCAATATTTTTAGAAAACTGACAAAGATAGTGACAATAAAATATAAATATATTTGAAATCGGAAGATAGAGCTCAACCGATAAGGAAAATGAAATACAAGTTGTTCCGTTCAAAAGGGTTTACGATGCATTTTTGTACTGAATTCTAAATGCCAATGAATATTAATATAAACCATCATCCTTCACAATGTTAATATGCAATTTTATTTGCATATGATTGCTCAGAGGCGAGTTACTGAAAAATTTGGGATAACCAACTGTGAAAACCGAAGAAAAATTAGTTATGCATGGGATCCCTGAGTATTTCAATTTTGAATACGGCTTATATGTTTCAGACCAAACGTTTATTTTGTTGATCAGTCTTTTAGAGTAGACAACGCTGTAGTTACCACACAAGAATCATTTTACAGGACTATGTATGTACATAGCCCTTCAGGTATGTTCTCATTACATCGAGAAAATTCGATAGACCTCTCTCTGAAGATGATTGATGTTGATTCCTCGTTGAGATTATAGAGAAGTTTATATGCAACTTTTGACTTCAATTCCAACTATATTATATCTCCTAATTACCTTTACCTGTATCTGATGCAAAAAGCAGAATACTCTTTCGGCAACCGTCTGGAAAGAGTTCACTTTCCGGACGATCTTTCTTTGAGAAAGTAGCATTTTTCCGGCCACTTTCCGGACTAGGCCGGGAAGTATCCCATTGTTGTTGTCACTGTAACTATGGAAATCTTGGTAGATATGGTTTTGATAAATGCAGATGATTATTACTGTAGCAGCGAAATATCGGCTGACAGCTATTTGACATGAAATTAGTTGACATTTTGATTTTCGAAAGTTTGGTGCAATTATCGCAATAAACTATCGAGAGCAGCTGCGATAGTGAGTTTGAAAATGTCCATACGAAATTTCCAATGTAACAGTTAGTAGGTATAGGTATTCTGTTCAAATTTCAGTATTTGATGCAAATGAGACGTAATGAAGAAGAAATTGTATTCCACAATGAAATATAAAATGGAAATGTGTCTTAGTGATTTGTTATTCCACATGGTTGCCGAAAAATTAGTGTATGCAACACGTCCTAAATACTTATTTATGATATAAGTGCTGAAAGTGACATTTTATTTTGTGAGAAGGGAAGTTTGGGAAACGACGCCGAAGGCGGAGTGTTCCATCCCTTCGAACAAATGAAAAAACACTTTTAGCACATATATCATGCACTATTTTTTCTCAACGCATAACTATTTCACATTACTTATTAATTGATTAAATAACAGCCTCGAGATTATCAGTTTTGAATCCGATTCAATCTAATCTAGTCATGAAACAAGTTACCAAGGTAAACAAAAACTGAATTTGTTGATTTATGTTTCTTGACAACTAACGTCAATAAATCACGAATTATTCTTTCTCGTTTCTTCGTTCCTCGATGGAAAGTGCCCAAGAAAATGAATTTCTTTCGCCGCAAGTTGAAGAAGCTGCCAATAAAGCTGTTTTTGAATTATTGCCTAGTAAGTCAAAGCGACAGTACGAGTTTTCATACGAACGTTTCTTGAAATGGTGTGATCATAAAAATGTCAGTGGAAAGGAGGCCAGTGAAAAAGTGCTTCTTGCATACTTTGAAGAAAAGTCCAAAATATGGAAATCGTCAACGCTTTGGTCGAATTAACGCACCTTTGTTGTAAATGGTACGTTGTATATGAACTAAATACTACAAAAAGTACATAGCCCTTCGTCCAGTGAATATTAATCATTCTAGAGTTTTTATAAAATGCATTAAAAATAAATGTGCCAGGACTCCAGTTGGAATCAACACATTTGGTGAGATGCCTGCCAATATTGCCGAATTTCTTAATTTGCCTGATTCCCATCTATATACTGGACATTGTTTCCGACGTTCCTCAGATAGTTTGTTGGCGGACTCTGGTGCTAGTCTTACTACAATTAAAAGACATGGTAGATGGAAGTCCAGTACAGTAGCAGAGGGTTATATAGAAGAAAAGGAAACAGAACATTGCAGATCAAATTTTGTCGAAAACTTCGGCAGATAATATTGCTCTCTGCCCTGGTACCAGCTTCACGAAAATTAATTCTGTCACATCTACCAATGAGACTGGCCATGGAGTTTCGTATTATAATTGTAGTTTCGCTAATTGTACTTTTAATTGAAACAACACTTCATTTTGAATTATGTTTACATATTTTCTCATAAAAATGATTTACTTTTAACACCAATGTCATAAACTGACATTTTAGACACTGACAGCATGCGTCAAAAATTATACTTTTACTGACGTTTGTAGAAAAACAGTTTTTCCTAACTCGCAGACTCCGGACTCGCCTACGGCTCGGCCTAGAATTTTTTCTATTCGTCCAAAAAACACCATTTTCTAGACTTGTTACGTAAATTACTATTTTATCGCTTGTTGACATCAGTTGATGAAGCTATAATATGTCCGTTTTGATTCGAAATAGGTGAACATACGGTGGTTTCTCCAATGAGCGTTAGGCCGGCCCTGTTCCCAAAGAAGAACAGGTAGTGTAGGCCTTCGAGGCTGATTTCAAAATCAACTGGTTAGCGGTCCGGCAGAGGTAGGTACGTCCGTGAAATCAAAAATCCAAACTGGTTCTTTGCAAGAAAAGTAACTACAATAGACGGAAAACTCCAAGTATGTTTCACTACCCGAATGGGAGCAACATTGCAAAATACGAATAGGTAGGTACTAATTTTATTTGTCTCCTGTCCATAACCAGGTCCCAGGTATTTTTTATCTCTAGGAGCACATGAGAGGAAATTCCTATTCTGGCTTTTGCTCCCATCAATTCTAATTGATTTTTGGATTTTAGTGCGCTTCCTCGAGGGGAAGGATTTACGGAACCCTTTGGTTTTTACGAGCATCTTTGAGTGTTCGTCAGGTTGCCCTTCTGGGACTTGACTTTTGGTTTTATTATAAGTGCGCGTTCTGAGGGCGCAAGGCCCTTCATTTTTAACACGTTGACTGCCACAAGGCACTAGGTATGTGCCTTGCCATTTCGGCTATTTAGGGTTCAAGGCACACTATTTGTGCCTTATATCAGTCAACTCTCTAAAATTTCATGGTACATCGTGAGGAGTTTTGCGCTGAGCTTTGTTTGGTCCTTCTTCTTGTGCCAGTTTCTCGTAACAAACCACACACATTTGAAGGTACAGCATTCGTGCCTCACGGCCCGATACTACAAAATACATATGCTGGGGCCACGAGGCACATATATCGTGTCTTCAGAAAAAAATTGAATAAAATCAGAAATATATGTTTTTTTCACATATGTGACATATTTCCTGAAGAAGTACAATAGTTTAAATCATAATCCATCATAATCAAAAAATGGCCCAGGGGAGCCAACACTTTTTATGTACTGCGGCAGTCAACGTGTTAAGGAAAATCCGTTCTTTCTCAACCTTTATTAACTTAACCACGATATTAGGGGTAACCATACCTTTGAAGACATCCATTTCGATGCTTGGGATTACTATCAGCGATAACCTTTCTTGGGAAAATCACGTGAGATCAATTGCTAATAGTGCATCCCAAAAACTTGGTTTTCTGTTTCGGGTCAGGAGCTATTTCACCTCCAGTCAGCTGCTTATGATCTATAAGGCACATATCCGACCTGTCCTGGAATACTGTTCCCATATTTGGAGTGCAGCACCCAAAT